AGAGAAAGTGCGACGACGTCGTCAGAAGGTCATCAGCGGTTGGCAATCTGTCCGAGTTCATCGTTCCGTGATAACAGTAGAGTTATCAACGACGAAGATATTAGCAGAAAGCAACAGTACTTTTAATAGTTCACAGTTAAAATTAAAATTGATTAAATCATAATATGACGATCGTTGTAGTCGGTATACACACAAAAGATCTCTCCAATTGTGTCCAAAACAGATACGGGTCCAAACCCGGGAGATATATGCGAACACTTAGTTTTGATTATACGGTTTAATAAATGTTGATGAACCGGCCACGGCAAACGAATTATAATGAAATCTATACTACAATAGTATTGATGGACAATTAGACTACAGCCAGGAGCATACTACACGAGAAAGTACGACTAATTACATGATTAACGTTTTAGCAGCCAAAGCTCGTAGAAAGGCAGCAAAAAAAAAAAAAAAAATACAATCGAATTTTTAACTAATTATCATTACTTTTGTACATAAAAATTCTAATGATTCATGACGATTAGTGTTGGGCTTTTTGAGTGATTACTATGGGCTGTATCAGTTGATTTTCAACTACTGCTGTAAGGTTACGTATGTACTTTTTACGGTTAAAAAAATATTATACTCATTGTAACTTTTCGCCTTCAGCGGTAGGAAATAAAAAGTAGATTTGCCACAAACAATTCGGTAGTGATACGGATACAAGTGATACAATGAGTTCTTACAAGTCCGAAAGTAGCGAATGTAATAATAATAACAAATGATAACGGGCAATAAAACTAAGTCGGCCACGATGGACATAAAATAATATTGTTCGGCTCTCAAAAAATACTGTCGACCATTAGAAGTGCACAGGGTTTTAAATGTCAGTTAATGCGAGTAAAAACAATTGAAATGTGACGTTACACATCATTTGGGTCAAGACATTAATATTATACTTTATTGTTGTTCACGTGTGAAAAATCTAATAATACGAACAACAATAATTGCGTACGTTCCAATTTGGATAAAAAAAATCGGATACCTATAAAAAAAATATGTATATCTAACTGCAACACTGCTTCGTGCACGCTGCGCTCTACAATGGCAAGTCCGACAAATCCATCATAACGAGAAACGGAAAGAGAGAAATACACTTTACTTCTAATTTAAAAATAAATTTACTAGACGTGCCGGTCATTTGAACTTTCTCTTTCTAACAATAATAAAAAAAGGACTCGGAGGACAGGAAAAAAGAGCCACACACAACAAAGTACACTCTATTCATTATTTTTGTTTAACAAAGCGTCAAGGTAAAATGTTAACTATCCTATGATATAATATTGGATCATTTTTCCATCACAAAACGCGCAGGACGTGATACGATTTTAAATTTATATACACATATTATAATGCGTAATGACTAATAAAAATGTGGTGCTATATACATCTTAACATTAAAATTGCCTGTCTAATATAGAAAAAAATTTAGCAACTTATGGTTATATAATATATATAAAATAGTAAATAAATTATTATTTAAACCTTAAGCATAAAAATAATACACTATGCGGTTTAAATATTAATTTCTTTACTTATCTAATATAGCTTTGATTGTTCAATAATTATTTTTTTTACAAGACAAATACCACAATTTAAATAGTATCTATTTAAGTCTTGCCTGCTGCTGTTGTATATCGTATCCGTGTTCTAATTATATATCATTCAAAATCCATTTGATATCGTATGCCGTTAGCCACCACGAGTCATGACCCTTCCTATCAATGTATTTAACGATGACATATCACATATGCAAGTAACAAGAACGGCGCAATTAAGTTCTTATTGAACTGTCTTTGAAATAGAGTTGAAAATAAATTAAATAAATGCACAGTTATCTAGTATGATAAAATGACAAATGATAACTAACAAATTGTTAGCTTGGATTATTATTTCTTGATACATTCACAATACGTATTATTCAAATTTTGCATTAAAAATATATAAAGATACGAATGAACAGAACGCCATAAATGTACCTTGAAATTTTATTCCTAAATTTATAATTACTTAAATTATGATGTCACGATTAAAAACAGTTTGTCAGTGGTGCGAAAAAAAAAAAATACATGCAAATATTTTGGCACGATCTTCATCAAAGGACAAGATAAATTAGCTTGTAATATCGTAGGACTAAAGAATATAATTTAAAGTTTTAGTTAACATATTTATCACTTATTGTTATTCATAAAAAAATGTATCGATAATCCCTACGTTTTTTATATTACAGGTGCATTTTAACATTAAATAATTATATAACTTTGATGAAGGACACGAATAGGGAAAAATAGAAGGACCTAAAATAATTAACTACAACAGGGAGACATGGAGAGCTAAGACAAACCAATCTAAGGATTATTAATGACAACAAGAAGAAGCGAAGAACGCAAATTTTTCAGAAAAATACGGTACACTTAAGTGAATAATTCGAATGTTAAGCGTTTACCATACGCCACACATTAAAATGGCAAGTTCAAGAGTTTAAAAATACAGAAATAAAATTAGTTTTCAACTATTCGTTTCGATATAATGTCATTAAAAGATAAACATTTTTTCTTTGACCTTTCAGTACCTACCCGCGTTAATGTTTATCAGCTCACGAAAATTTGCTTCCGGCAATGATAACATTTTTAAAAAATATATTTCAGTAAAATACAAACAGTCGTATTCAAACTTAGCATACTGAAACACATTTGATAACGCAGATTTCGAGACTTAAAAACAAAAATATTTGTCCATCAACAAGTATGCTTAGCTATAAAACACTAGGCAATGCCGTACCAGCAACAGAGAAGCTCTAGTTTAAAATAACGATTTGATATTTACAACGGTTCAATGAGTCACGCCCAAGTGCAGCCGGAAACAGATAATAATGGCGTGACCTTCGTAGTAACATTACACAAAGTTTTATTATATTTTAACGAAAAAAAGTAGATATATTCGACTATTTATTAATGTTGTACCATACGTACACACGGACAATCGGGCTGTACCTATTTGATTCAATTATTTTTATTACAATGGTATACATGCATACATTTAATATGGGAATAAAGGTGCTACAAGCTCGTGACGCAAATTCTCCATTTTTTTAAGGTCAACTTTTAAAAAAAATCTAGGTATAGCTACATCATGTAGATCACTTTCATGCACTTTCCACATGTCAATTAAGATATAGTTTTGCAATAGCGGTCATTGGTAACAATAAAAAAATAAACAAGTGTTTGTTGTTAGCATGGTTTAGAATACTGGTAGAAATCATCTCTGCATCTTGACTGATCTCTTCAAGAAGGTCTTCTTAAGGTAAATAATCTGGTCTCGAATAAAAGAAATAATACATGCAGCGTGTGTGCGCACAATTTGATTGTTTTAGTAACGATTTGTTGTACACGCAAAATGAACACCTACAAAACGTGACGGAGTTAAATGTATTTATTATATCTTGCTGATCTGACTGCACCGTTAAAACGACAGTGTTGCGATTATCCTGTACTTGGTTTTTTTGTTACTTAGTTCGATTAAACCACAACTAGATATTCCAATTTTCTGTAAATTACAACATTGTCTTTTGTTAAACCTGCATCTAATTAGAAGTCATAAAATGAATTTACGTTAACCGAAAAAGACACTCCTTGACACAAATAGTATCTACACGTTTTTTTAAATCCGTCAAAATAATGTCAAAAAGAAAAATGTGATGACTTTAGGTATAACAAGCTATAATACTCGTATTTGTATGTATAGACTCGGGTGACCAACGACGTGAGAAATAACGTGAGAAAAGCTTTTCAGACAATAAAGACTAGGTCAAGTGTTCATAGATTGTACTAGAAATGGGATTTTCTGATGGGAAAACTATCTACAATAATTTTTAAGTTTCTAAAAATCGAATAGTTATTACCTACAAGCACAAGGCTTAATAATTTTTATAATTAAAGAGTTGCCAAAGTTTAGCCATTACTTACACCAAGAATTTGATAAATAGATTAGAAAAAATTAATTTTTAGTTCAGTTTTCGAACACCAACTGTTTTATACTTATTTGGGTGAAGGAGTTTTGTCTGCAAAATCCTTACTTAATTATTTTTTTTCAAATTATGACTACTCGACTTGTGACAAAATAACTGGAAAATACTAAAATTAAATTTCGCTTAAAACTAATATGTGATTTATTGATTTTTAAAAACGTCATACCGCGTTCTTCCAGGCCCTGTATAATAACTATTGTTGTCGAATGAAAGAAAACCGATTAGGTACCGACGGTTTCTTATCTATAAAAAAAGAGCAATTGTTTTTTTTCTCTTGTGGACGATTAGCAGTCGCTTATCACCCGCCGGGGTTTTATTAATGCGCCAGGAGAGTTTAAACTCTCCGTTTCTGCTTTATCGGATCCCTAGTATTCAGTTTGTATCATTATGCATATTATTGTACTATGGATTACAGATCCAGATCGTTGGGTATCCTTGGCCCGATTACAGATCCACAGACCACCACATTATAATACGGCAGGCACGTGTGCATTACAGTAAATAATAATCACATTATTATAATATAACGGTGCGCGAAAAAGTAATTATTATCATTATTCGGTAGTGTCTAATCACGACGTGCATTGTTGTCGAAAGAAATATTGCGATACTTATTTGGATCGGACCTCAGTCATTATCGCCCGTCCACAGTGCATGATATATTTTTAAAGGTACTACACTCAGGCCGCGATAATGTTATCGTTATCGTTGCTTTCACTTATTGACGAAAAAAAACAATCAACGGAATCAGCTCGGAAAACTGACGGTGGCTACCGTGAACCAATTGCATACAGTTTTTTTTTCATGGCCATTAGTGCGTTTTCCAAGAAAAATCGCCACGATAACAAAACCATAACATTATATTATATTTTAATACACAGCTACCGTGTATGTCATTATAATTATTAATTATGTATCATGCAGGTTGTACCTTATTCGCACCAATCCAAGGTTCGGCGGTTTTATCCACGTTATTTGCCTTGGTGTCATTTGTGACGAATTTCCTACAGTTTTCCACTTAGTCTGACGGTAACGCAGCCGGATCGCAACCGGACCACTCGTTATCGTTAACCACAAACATTATTATAAAAAAAAAAAAAAGATAGAAAATGTACACTGATGCAATATTATAAATAAAATCACGACAAAGCCCGCACTCGGACACTGATCAACGCACTAGTTAGGTCGACGACAAATAATTATTACTACAACGATAAAAGAAACAAGAAAAATTAACTATATAGAAAAAAAAATATTTAAAATACAATTCACGCGCGCTGTTTATACACAAAAATAAATCCCTGTAAAGCACGACACTAAAGAGAACTTTGCACTGTATGTGTGTGTGCTCGCTGATAACACACACAATATCGTCGACGTCGCGCTGCCCGTATGATTACAACAGCAGCGACAGTAGTAGTGGTACAACTAGTAGTTGTATCGTAAATGTGCAGAAGTTTTGTGCACGCACACACACACACACACCACTGTTCTTTCACAGACTAGCATTCACACACAAACACACCCGCTCAGCTGGTGGTAGGGTTGTCCATTGGCAACACTGTTTTTGTGCTCGCAGTGCAGCCGACCGAATCAACGCTGTGATAAGAAAACGAGAGCGATACGGTATTGTAAAAATTATTGTACGCCAGCCAGCAGCATATTTATTTTATTCCTGCTGTAAAAAATTACCAGTAATTCTTAGCCAGAAATTCAGTAGCTACTAGCCAATTAACATCTACTTACAAAATAATATTGTAGCATGTAGCATAAACTTGGTTGTTAATATGAACTTGTTCTTTAATAAAAACATGTGGGTCTTACAATTGATTGTTATTTCCACAGGTTGTAATTTGTATTAATATAGTAACGGGTTTGTCAGTAAATATAAAAAACGAGATTATTAATTGAGGGTTTTTTGTCATAACTACATAACCTCATCCAACGAAACAAATATTCTTTTTATAATAATATTAATATTAAATATTATCATAACTGGAATTTGAGTATATCGAACTTTGAATTGTATTTAACGATGGCTGCAGGTTGCTTTACAATATCTCCAGGTCGTAATAGACATCTAAATACTCGGAGGACATTTTTAGGAAAAAAATGCAAAATTATAGAATAGGTACATTATTATAATAATAATTATGACATTCGAGAAATAATTATATACCAAGGTTGGTATAGGAAAAAACTGATTAAAAAAAATTGTTTATAATACTATTATTACTATTATAATTATATATAATATTATTGTAGTTAGCAGAACAAAAAAAAATTGCATTACTTACGTATTTCTCACAATAGTTTACTAATTAGTATTTCCTACCCCCACCACATTGCTATTGTAGTAATAATTACTATTGTAAAAGTATTTATTAACTTATACAACGCGAAAAATCACGAGTTTTAATTTTTTTAATACTCTAGCGTTTAATTACAATAGGTAGTCAAAAGTAAACTTTTAGAATAGGTAAATGGCTACATAACTTTGAAACTATTATCGTATCATCAAATTTGAATATTAGTACCTACTATTTGATTATTCGAATTTAAATACAACCCTTTTTGGAATAAGTTATAACCCTATTTTTAAAGCTGAACTTATTTTTACCTTCGATTTAACATTACAATATTTAAATAACTTTTGACGAAAAAATCCAAGTTTAGAAGATTCGCTCTAGTATAAGTTGCGCAAGTTAAATGAGTTACAACAATTAAGTTACAGAGCTTAAAAATTGTTCAAGAAATTTACTAAAAAATTAATACATTTTCAAGTATAGTGTTAATAGGGTAACCTATATCCACTTTTTAAAAAAGTTTAAAAGTTATTGTCAAAGAGAGAAAAAATGTATCGCAAATACAAAGCAGCCAAGGTCAATAATCCAAAAATCTTTCTCGTTGTTCCAAGTTGAACGCACGCCTTGCATTTTTATTGTACAAGTATTTATTGATTATTATCGTTAAAAAATACTAAAGTCGTTTTAACTTGTATCTGCGTATAATTAGTTAAAATTTCTTTAAATAACCCAAAGTTAAAAATACTATATAATAATTTTATTAGAAAAAACATAAAAATAATTTTCAGTTTCAGTTCCGGTTGTGACCAATCAGCTGTAACTTTTAACAGGCTTTTTCGTATCTTAACTTTTTTTGTTTTAGTTGAGGTAAATTGGCGTCTGGAGTTATTTTATATTCAAGCATCGTAGACCGAAGAACATTGAGAATCTTCGTCAATCACTTCAACAGTCAATGACGATTATGTGCTCGTTGCACATCTACAAATTGCGTTTCTCGTTTTTCTGGCGTTTGGTGAATACTAGTGCGGTCATTTTGAGATTCTACCGGTGCATTGTACTTAGTAGTATATAGCCTATTGTGTACCGAGCTGATGTTATGATGTTCTTTGTTTTTCGAATGCTCTATCACCCTGGACTGTGGAGATTGTTCCAATCTATCTTCCAATGAGGAATTTAAAAGATCTTCAGAAATCGCTGTAGATTCAGCAATAGTTTTTTTTGGGCCAGTGTCCGTTTCCATGGAAGCCATACAACTTTTATTATCTGATCTTAGATTTTCATCCTTTCCCGAGTTGGACGTTTTCCATTTTAAACGCTATTTAGTGTTTTGTGTTATAGTTTAATGTCTAAAATAATAAATACAACGTCAAATACCTTGTGGCCATTTGATTTGTTTTGGAATACATAGTGAAGATGTCGCGTAAAAAATAATATAATATAGGGTTGCTCAGAATCATCGTAAGAACAATAATTCACAAATTTCGTAAAACACAAATGATATTGTTTTATTAAGTTAACCCCTCGTGGTCAAGGTGAGGCGAATACGACCCCAGAAATCGATGGGGTCGCAGAATTAAAAATAGTCACATTTATCTGAAATTACCAAGCAGATTAAACTGTGCAAATTTCATGGCGAATATTTGTATTAATTAGTTTGTATCCTCTAACAACGATTTTGCAGTCTATTCCACTAGAAATGTATAAATAACACAAAATATAAAACTTTGTATTATTTTTAATGACTTAAGAAAAAGGAGAATATATTTTATTGTAGAATACAAAAGGAGGAATAGTCAAAGAAACGAAATGAGATAATATGATGGTATTATGTAGGCAATCAAGAACAAACTGTTCAGCCATGAAACGAATATTTGTTTCAACTGTAAGTATTTTGGAGTAAAAACAGGAATAGTTGAGGAAACTAGAAAAGAAAGCAAATCAATATCAATATTATAAATTTAATTATATTTGTTAATATAATATTATAATTTCATACATTTTAATGGTATTTCAATAAGTCAATAGTTTAATTTAATCATAAATATAAATGTATTTTTAATTTAATTTATATATTTTTATACAACCTTTACAATCATCATTATAATAGTAAGGTGTAAAACAGGTTTAAATATATTAAATATTACTTTTATAAGCTTAATGAGAAATCATTGTTTTACATATACTAGTATAGTATATTATGAAAATAATGCCTACATTTATTATGTAAAATAATTTGGATTAACGTTAAGTTCAATCTTGTTTTATATTGACAAATAATTCATAATAATGATAATTAAAGATTTTCTAACTTTTTGGACCCCTATAAATTTGTTTTATAGAATTCTGTTGATAATATAATATAATACTAAAACTATAAACAAACAGAATTTCATTTCCATAGAAAATTGTTTTATTATTAATTCAAATAGCAAACTAATGGATAATGATTGTATGATAAAACATTAACAAAGACAATAAAACTACTACATATTGTAATCTTGAATAAAAAAAATATTTATATTTCCATTAATCTGTCCATAGCTGTCAGTACTTCATTATAATGTTTTCCTAAAAAATAAACAACATGAATAAAAACTGAAAAATTGTATTATATAATATTATTATTATTTACCTCCTGAAGGAACTTTGAAGTTACCACTTATTAAACAGTCTTTAAGTTCGCATCCAGCACTAATCGTAGCGTCATGACAAACTATGCAATTTTGTAGCACACACCTACAAGTAGGTATGTTAATTAGTTAAAACATGTTAGATGTTTCATAGCATCAATACTACTAACCTTTCCTCAATAATTACTCCATTCATTAATATACAATCAGTTATTCTAGTCTTTGGGTTAATTGTACATCGTGAGCCAATGCTAGAATTTTTAATTGACGTCTTTTCCATTATTTTAGTATTAGGACCAACAAAACAAGTATCTCTATCTAGTTGATTGGATAGTATTTCAGCTTCAGGAGATATTTTGTCTTTTTCATCGCCTGAATCGATGTTTAATTTGTTAATCTATAAATGAAAAATAATCAATTTATATAAATAGCATACAAACTTTTTTTGCTTTCATGAATTTTGCACATACAATTTTATTGATTTTACAATAATCATGTAAAATATTGGCTCGTATGCCAACATAAGAATCTAACACACATGCATAGCACTTAATTATTTCACCAGAATCGGCTGAGTCTCCAAATGAAGACATAGATCGAATATTGTACTCAATGTCTGATTCTCTAGACATTGAAAATATATCAGGTTTTATGTCATCAACTAGGTGCATTTCATCAAGATTTTTATTAACACTATGTTTGGAAAGCTGTTTTTTTACTACAAATGGAAGTAGTTCTCCTTTTAAAGTTGACATGTTCCTAAAAATAGTAAAATAAATTGCAATTGTATTTAATGGCAAAATAAGTATTTTTATTAATACTTCTAACCTCTAGTACCACTTACTTGTCTTTAACAAGGTAATATACCAGCCATCGTTTCATAACATACAAGTGAGCATCTAATAGTTTGGAGCACAAACTTAGGTTCGAACATTTGTTTAGTAAAGCACTGCTCAACGGCATAGTTTCTTCAAAATCTGAAGCTGATGCCATTAAAAGGAGCCTAGATGTCTTAGAGTCGTATCCTATAATATCTTTTTCTGTAAGAATAAAACAAAAAAATCATTAGTAAATGAGAATTTTTTTTTAATCATTTTATTTAAAAAAACTGCTAAAATATACAAAGATTTAAAAATATTTTTAAACAATACATGTAAGATATAAAGAATGATTTAATTAAGTAAACTAATTTGAAAATGATTTAGAATATTTTGTGAATTGTCAATGTAACATGTAAAGTGTAATATTTAACACATAAGTAGTGTTAAAGACGCGAAAGACATAGTAACTAATAATAACAATTTGAAAGAGCTAATCTTTCATTTGCCGGTCGATTACTCTATCATTGAGCTACCCAATTAATTCCACTTATTTGTATCAATTGCATATTTTAGCTGAAGTTTATAAGGCTTTAAGTTCATAGTCTATTAGTTAATATATATATATATATATATATATTACAAAAAAAAATGTAAATAAATATTTACCAATTTTATTTTTAGACTTTGGCCCGGGTATGACAAAATCACATTTTTCATCTTGTGTTGGTGAAAAGTATAAAGACACTAATGAAGCGTTGTGTTTCCTATACACATCAAGTACTTGATGTAAATCAGCATTGGTAATAAGGTCACAGCTCAAAACAATAATGTCTGTCTAAAATATGTATACATTTATGTACTACTAGCTATAAACATTTAATCTAGAATCAGAAGGAGCTATCAACTTAATGGTTTGTATTTACAACTTGTACTGCATGTCGCCATGTAAGTTGCTGGTTTTGATCAAATCATTTGAGTCCACTAGTTGTAAAAGGTCGTACGTCCACTTTCAGCCGAAATAGATATTTTGCTATTTTATTGCTGTTCACTGGTGATTTATTCTTGTATATAAATTTCAAGTTTCAAAATATGGTATGTCCTTTTTAATTTTCGATTCTAAAATTAAAAGTTGTATTAGTGAGTAGTGAAAAAATTTGAGTTTTTGCTATTTCTGAATATTTTATTTGTGATTACATAAGACCTTTTGCCACTGGTGAACCCGTTTTAAGAATTTAATTAGTTTTTACAAAAAACTATACGTTATCTGCATGAAATTAGTATGTTGTAAATTTATTCCTCGGATTCTAGACTAAATGTCTAGATTAATAATTGTTGACATTTATTTTGTCATTACATTTTGTAATTACTTACTGTAATATAATCAGCAATGTGCCGAAGCGAATCTGCTGTTCCCCAATCCTCGTCTGATGGAATTGGAACAAAACTTAAATTCATTTCAAAGCCCAGACGATCAATTTCTTCTTGTATATCACTAGCATAATTGTCCGGTACAATTATTTTAGTTTCTATAAATAAGGCAACACGTTGTAAAAATCTCATAAACATAAGATTACCAAATAAATTATCGAATCACTGACCTTTGAATCCAGCATTTTCTAATAGTTTCAGTGGATAGTAGATCATCGGTTTGTTGCCCACCGGCAGTAAACATTTTGGCTTTGTAGCGGTCATCTCGGGTATCCGAGAGCCTTTGCCGGCAGCCATCACCACAGCTTGAAATTCCAACCAGTTCTGCATCGAGGCTTTAAATATCAAATCCGATGGTCACAAAACGGTAAACCGTAATAATTGAGATAGCTCTTTAATTAAAAAAAGAAATAACAAATAATAATATGCTTAATGCCGCATAACGTGTGCACACGTGATATGACGTTATCAATGTTTTGAGTTTTCCAGCAGCTGACGAGAAGTTCCAGCAGTCGTATTGTGTGCGTGTGTGTTACTATAGACAGGAGGAAAGGGAATACTAATTATTACTGAACGACGAACGTCCACTGTCCAGTAGTCAATACTGTCAAATAACGGACATTGGCTGATGTACTACTCCTGACGTTGTACCCGTTTTCTGTGTTTAATTTATTGTCTTACTGGCCATGGACTTTGTAGGGACACGTCGCTGCTTGTACGGAAAACGGACGATTGGGTAGTTTTATGGTAAAACACTTTGGTCGAACACGGTAAAGGATAAGTGTTCATCGCGTTGGATCGGTGGGACGCCGCGGGAATTGTTTGATATTAAAAATACCGTACACTGGGAACACCGTACGCAGTTGCACCTTTTTGGAACAATGGAATAGTCAGGGAAGAGGGAAGAGAGAAAGCCCTACCAGTTCCTTCACCAATCTCCATCGATTATCGGATAACATAATTATTAATGTTATTGTTTAGTTTTTCTCTTTTTCTAAACAATAAAACACCAAACGAACAAATATGCATCCTCAGTGTTCTTGATAGTTTCTGCATGTAGACCTGGTAGAAAAACTACTGTGGTCCCAGCTCGCGAGCCCCCTCGTTATTCAGTGTATTCATAGCCGTCATGATTATTGCAGGGTGATTGAGGTCAAAAACCTCGAAGCAAAGGGTTCAAGGTTGTTCCTGTTGCGGGGCCATAAGATACACTAGCTGAAGTCAGTAAGATAGTGGTATCTTTATTTCTTCGTAACCAACAATTAAACTTTACCCGTCAAAACTGGCGCACCAAGTTCTACCAAGACGTTCCGGTAACGTCCACGTCGATGGACGACCGCTCATCGACGAGAACATGTTAGCTATCTGGCATGAAAATGACCGGTATTCATTTGAAGATTCAGAACGTTTTGAAGAGGATTCACTGTGTACGTGGAGTAGCGAGCCGGAATCAGCATGTATCAATTGGAGAGGATGGAGAAAGATGGAACAGAACACTGAAAGAGGTAAGAAAAAAATATTTTTTTATTTGAATTTCTCATGAACTTTATACCTAAGCACATTTGAGACTTTGACCTTTTATTTTATATCTATTTATGAAAATTAATGTGTTGTGATCTTGTAAAACTTGAATTTCAACAATGTGACCTTTTATGTTTTACTTGGTACTTCTACTATTGATTTTTTTTATCAGGTAGATACATTATCTGACATAGGTAAATTGTATTATAGTATAAGGCAGTGTTAAATAATTATACATTACAAATTGAAGAATGTTAAGATTAATTTATAGTAATTTGAACATTATAGCTGTTATAATGTTGCCTTGGCTTACCAGAGATGTTTTTACATATTTTTAACATTCATTAAAAATTGTTTTCATATGCATTTCACAACTCTAATAACATAATTGATTTATTATTAAGATTAAATCGGATATGTTTTGCATTGGATTATCATATATATATATATATATATATATATATATATATTATGATATATTATGAGTAATGTTATCAGAATAATTAAGTGTAATTGACACTTGTCTACTTTTATACCTGATATATTAAATTATGAAAAGGTTTTCTTAGAAGTAAATCTAAATGTGGTAATAATATCGGAGGTTAGCAATATTTAAAAAAAAGACTTAGAAAATGTAGAATTAATTAGGAGATTTTGGACTTAATATGTTGTTATGGGTTTTAGGAAATGAGACTAATGACTGACCTTTTTACTATACTTTTGTATTATAATAAATATAATTATAACGATTAGTCTTTAAGGCCAATGGATACCCCATTGTATTTACCAATAAAAATTGTTTGCATCACATATTCAATTTTAAACTTTTTACCATTCTGTTTTTTTCTTTTCAAAAAGAATAAAATTTTGTTTGGTGCATGAATTTTTAAATTCTAAATATATCAAATTTCTAATTGTTGTAGTGCTTTAAAACATGGTATTGTAGAAGGCATTTTGTATTATGTTTTTTTTAATATAACCATTATAATAAACCAAATTTTTAAATCTATATGCTCTGTATAATGTTATATTTATTTATCAGAAAAAAACTAGAAATCATAAATGTTAAAAAAAAAATGCTATACATTACATGGTATTATTAAAGAAAACCGGCTTTAATTATTTTTGAAATAGTCTATATAAAAAGTATCATTAGAAAAATAATTTATAATCCTATTATAACATTTAATAAGAACCAAAATGTTTATTTTTAGATTTATTATATGTTTTTGTATAATTTGTAGTAAATTTTTTAGTTTAACTTATTTTGCCAACTTAACCAAGCTCTATTCTAAAACTATACTTTTGGAGAAGTTAATTTGTGGTGTGTTTTGAAACTAAAAATGTGGTAATGCTTTTAAGGTGTATGTAAATACATATTACTCATAAGTTGTCATTTTTACAATACCTATATTTGAATCCTATTTTTGAATAATTGAGTTTTATTTAATACAATTTTTAATAAATCAATATTATATAACTTGTACTGCAATTTATACTATAATTAGTAATGTTTCTATCTTTAATAATTTGCTAACAAATAATGAATTAGTACATGTTTTTGAAAATGCTTTGAAAAATAAATTATAATTTGATATCATAAATCACAAGAAATACATACCTAAAAATAATATGTATCTTATTTCATTTTCAGAACCAAAACCCGAAATTAAACAATTAGTTGAATTAGCTGCTCAATGTATCGCACTATTTGTACCATATGAATTAGTAGAACAAGAATATCCTCCTGTACCTGAAGAATTACAGTTACGCATAGCATTTTGGAGCTTTCCTGACAGTGAAGATGACATTCGGTTATATTCATGTTTGGCAAACTCAAATTCTGATGAGTTCATACGAGGCCAAAATTTATACTCTTCAAGTACTGTTAAAGACTGTGTACAGATTGGGTTCCATTTAAGTGCTAATGTTAATCATGGAGGTCGTAGTATTTTTAATGTGGCTATAACGTTTGACCGAAAAAAAATCACATCATGTAATTGTACATGTGAGCCTATGTCCTACTGGTGTTGTCATGTTGTTGCAGTGTGTTTGCATAGAATTTATTGTGTAAGTTATTTAAATTCCGTCGTCTTTTTTTAAGTTAAATTTAGTTAATAATAATGATTTAAATTTTTGTTTTAATTTAGCCTGATCAGGTATTATTAAGAGCACCTGTTAGTGAAAGTCTGTCTCGTTTAGAACGCGACCAGTTGCAAAAATTTGCGCAATACCTAATAAGTGAATTACCTCAGCAAATATTACCCGCTGCACAACGATTGCTAGATTCATTATTGTCTTCACAACCAACAGTTATTAATTCAGTATGTTTTCAACTATTAGTTATATTAATTGTGTTTCAGTTTAAATTGCTTATTATTACAATTATTATTTGTTGGTTTAGACGAGCGGAGCACCTGATCCTACTGCAGGTGCATCTATAAACGAACAAACCTCTTGGTTTTTAGATGAAAAAACATTACACAATAACATTAAGAAAAGTTTGATCAAATTTTGTGTTCCTTCACCTTTAGTAATTAGGTATGTATCATATTTATGTATATTTTTTAATGTTTGTAGAAGGAAATTTTAATAATCGGTTATAATTATTTTTGTAGTGATGTTAACATTTTATCACAATCTGTACCACCAGCGACGGCAGAGTGGTCAAATTTATTACGGCCTTTACGGGGCCGTGAACCAGAAGGCTTATGGAATCTTGTATCAATTGTTAGAGAAATGTTCCGGAGGAATGATGAGAATGCAATGCATCTCTTAGAAGTTCTAACAGAGGAAGCAGTTGCATGTGATCAAGTAAGATATAAAACGATAAATTTAATAATTTGTTGATAAATTAAGAGGACGTTATGCACCCAATTTTCTAGTGTTGAAAAGTACATACACAGAATGCATTTTACTTGCTCCATGATGATTTTACAGTAAAAATACTAATTACAAAAACGAAAGATAACAATATTTTGGAGACAATGTCGTATCCTTTTTTCGAGAAACCTAATATTTAACATTTAAAATCACATTTTTAACTTTTAAAAAATAATAATAATTTTATTTTACGTTACCATTTTCAAAATCGGATATGACATTGTTTCTGAAATATTTTTATTTTTCAATTTTATATAAAATAGCACATTCTAACTTTTTTTTTTATTAAAAACAATATTTAAATTATTAGGGATTATTGTAGTTTAGGTTTATAACTTCTAAGAAATTTCTATTATTCAATAATCTGATGAAAAACAATTGTATGTTATTATTATATCTATTATTTTCATAGATTATGATTTGGTGGTTTAATACAAGAGTTGCGTTACATGGAAGTGGGCCCAGTGGAGTAAGTAAACACACTGGACCTGCTGGTAACACCAATACAGCTTCTCATGCATGTGCTCTGCTCTGTGATGAAATGGTTACACTTTGGCGTCTTGCTGCATTAAACCCTAGTATTTCGCCTGATCACAGAGTGGCATTAAAACAAAAATTTCAAGATTGGCAAGGGAAAATTTTTTCGAGGGTAAGTGATTGAATGAAACACTGAATTTTGTTTGTATTCATTTAATAATATCTTATTTTTTAATCGCTTAGGTTGTAAAACATAGAAATACTTCTAATAGCAAAGCATTAAACCATTTCCGCCAAGATATGGAAATTTTTGTTGGCTTTAAACCGGCTAGTGAAGCTTGTGATTTAGATTGGGATGATTATCCATTACCTGGTAATTTTATAACAACTTTATAAAAATATAATCATTACTTTTGTAAATATTTTTGTTTCGTTTAGGTATAACATACGGTACAACTTGTTGTTGTGATAATAATGGTGGTTGTTGTTCACATATTAATAATCAAGGAGCTACTATTCATTTTATGGGAGAATATGGAAACTGGAATGAATGTAGCGCATCATCAAGAGTAAGAAGTGTTGTATAATAATATGACAAAAAAAAGATATGAATTTCAGTTATATAAATTAAAAACTCATTATTTCATACTTGTTATAGGGAAATTCTGGTCAAATATCATTAGACGAATGTTTTTTGGATTTAAAAAATAACCGACACTTGCATTACGGAAACCGAACCAGTCGAACTGACTATCGTAGATCTAATAATATGCATATGCTTTGCAATGTACATATGCCAAATAACGAGTAAGCTTTAGTTAATAGTAAACATTATTATAGATATAGTTTGTGTTATTATATAAATATGTAAACTTGTTTTAGACATAGACAAATGACAAATGTTTATTGGGTACACATGTCAAGAAGTATGTCTCGAACACAACCTGAGGGTGGAAATGCAAGTGCTAGTATCCCCGAACCATTTCCTGCGAGTGAACCTTCAACAAGCCAAAGCCTAGGTATTATAAATTATTGTAGGAAAAAAGGTCTCCTAGTAATTTACACTATAAACATGACTTAAGGTTACTCCCACTTGGATGTCTTGACTAGTTTGCCAACGTTGCTCGCACCGCGCACTCCTGTTTGTCTGCAGGAAAGCGCGGTGCGAGCAACATCGAACCACAGCCCTGAAGATGGAACGTGCAAGTGTTCTGAAACGTTGGCAAACTAGTCAAGACATCCAAGTGGGAGTAACCACAAGTCATGTAAATAATGTAAATGTAATACCCCACTCAAGCTTCAATAATTTTTTGTGTCTTAGTAAATTATTTCAAACAATAATAATAAAATAGTAAAAAACCTAGTTAAGATTATTAAGTGCTACGATATGTAGTATCATATTATTGTATAATAATTTGTTTTATTATTAATACCATTATTACAGCATCTCTAGCTATCGGGTTATATAATAATGTTAGACTGAAATAACAAACAACAGTGATATTATGTTTGTCAAAATTCTTAAACCCAAGAAGGAAGGATAAATTTAAAATTGCCTATGAAATAGATGGTATGAAACATTTAAAAATGTAGTACCTACTGGCCCCGAAGACTTCTCTATTTTAATCTTACAGAATTTTCAATGGAATGTATAGACCTAACCACTCAAATAAAGAAAAAATTACAGTCCAGTATCATCGAACACCTCCATTATTTCCTCCAGACACAGTTCATTTTTACAATATTATCAAATGGCCATAGGACAAATAATATTTGTGAAGGTTAGAGTTTACGGCTTTTAAACTTGATGGTACGATTCGAAAATTAATTATTAAAATAAAAATAAAAATTTTACTAATTAAATTCTACAGATCAATTATTGGTGTAGGAGCTGATTGTAAATAAATAAAAAGAAATATGAAATAAAGATGAAGACATGATTATAATACCGGCTGGTTCTTTTAATGCCCTACACTAGTTTACTCTAAAATAATTGCAAATTTGTAGTTTTCCCTTTTGAAAATATTTTTATCTTTTTTATTATTTTGTAGACCTTAATCAACTTTTGAAATAAATGGTAACATTATACATATTTAATATTACATTTTTAAATTAAGAATAATTTAATGAATATTTTAACAGTAAGATTCATCTGTTTTATTAAATTTATTATGTATGAATGTTTCGGTTTTTTACAATAAGTAGTTATCACACTAGCGCAGTACAGTAGTACCTATAATTATAATGTTTTAGTAAGATGAGACCTTTTTACCAGTACCCCTACTTGCCCCTATACACTTTTTCTGTTCTTTATTTATATATAATATATATACAACAATCCTTTACATTACATGTATTTCTGTTTCATAATTTAGCATCAATTCCATCTACAAGTTCCTCGTCTACTAGCACCACCCAACCTAGTTCACCTCAGCAGGTAGCAAAGCCATTAAGCTCATCATCCGAAAGCCAAAGTAGTGATGAAGGTGATCGGTTAGCTGTGCAGAAGTCTACTTCTTCTCAAACTACACCTCCACCGCAAGATGGTGATGACTGTCATTATCTTTACTATTGTAATCCGAAAAAACTGCCATCTACTTCTTCAGACAGTATAAAAATAGCCCAAGAAGTGAATGCTCCTGATATTTACCAGCCGTCTACATCTAAATCTATGACTGCTACTACACCGTTGATAAAATTAGATTCAGAATGGGAAACAATGTTTGCCAGAGCTGAAGGTTTATATGCTTATGGTCATACCAAAGAAGCATGTGTACTTGGTGTGGAACTCGTTGATAAATTTCTAAAAAATCCACCTGATTTTATTATCGACGTTCCGCCACCTATAATTAAAGGAAAAAGAAGAAAAGTATGTTTTGAAACTAGAGGTCTAATCAAATTCGTTATTTAAGTTATAATTTATTTATTTTTATTAGATCAATCCCGTATGCCATCAACTGTCTATATTAGCTTCGGAAATTTTACAAAAATGTTATTTCTTGTGTTCTGTTTTGGCTGAAAGGAAAGAATATTATTTACACGCATTCAAAATTGGTCTTTACGGATTAGAAATGCCAAGGTTGCCAGCAAGTACAAAACCATTGGAAGTATGTTTACAACTTTATTTTAGTACACTTAGTACAACCTAATTTTTTTAATACACTTAGGTAAAAATGGCTCATCAAGAAGCTGAAATATTAAACCACCTCAAACGTATGTTGCCATTTGATAAGCCAGAAACAAAAATTCTCAGAGAGCGGGCAATACTTTTGCGAGAAGGCCAGTATAAAACTCGCGGTGATTCCTTGTTGCCATTGAATTTAGCAACATTTATTTTTGATTGCTTGGTACTCTACCAATCACCTTCTCCTGGAAAAACTGATGAATCACTGGGGTTTGAAGCTGCTGTTGCAGTTTTAGGAATGAAAGCCAACATCAGCGAAGCAGAAAATCCTCTTCTTTGCGAAGGAATTAGAAGACAAAGGTATGTTGCAATGCATATCAAAAAAGTATATTATTGACAATTGAGTTATAAACTTCATTGTTGTTACTTTAGAGGTGAACTAGCGCTGAATATTATAATACGTTACAAAAACAATCCAACACGTTTAGCATTTGCTATGGATAAGTTATTAGACAGAGAAGTACATCCATTTATGAAATCTGCTATGGACGCATGCTGGTATCAAATAAGGGACTCCAGGACTATTCCAATAATGGCCATGAAAAATATTGCGAGCAGCAATTTAGTTTATCCTCAATGTATGTTGACTCAATATCATTTAGAATTAGAAAAATTGGTTGTAAAAATGTTTTTTAAAACTTTCTTATGCTTTAGTTCCAAACTACAACCCAACTGCTACTGGAGTACCAGGAGAGCTTGACACAAATTTAGCCAGTATGAATTTGAATTCTGCACCGCCTACTCCATCGAGTAGTAGTAGTAGTAATAGCACTGGCTTATCATCTAGTCGTAAAGATAGGTAAAATATTTTTTCATACCAATCAGTTTGGCTTTTTATATTAAAATACGCATTACCGAAATTTGATTTCAGATACAAAAGCGGTAAACGTATTTATCCAAATCAACCAAATCAAGCATCAGAAGCAAACGCACACTTTCTATTTGAATTAGGAAAAATAATTTTGAGCAAAGTTGGTGGACCTGTTCAAACAACTGTATTCACACAACCGCCTTTATCCTCTCAGCCACATCGTGCTTTACACATGTGTGCTTTTCAATTATCGTTATATTCGTTGGGACTTCTTAATCGTGTTTCGCCTAATTGGCGAAGCCGTAATTACTCATCTCAAGTTACGTGGATCGGTGATCATGCAATGGAAATTGGTGCTCCAGCCACTCTATTCTTGCTTGCTACATGGGAAGGGCACTTAACACCGGCTGAAGTAGCAAACATTGCAGACAGAATGTCTAGAAGTCATGAGCGAGTCACTGTTGAGGCAGCTGCTCAATTATCTTTATCTTGTTTAAGACATTCTGCAGCTCTGAATTTAAATGAAATAACTAGAGCCATATTACAGGTATTTGATATAAAGTTTATACCAATTATAATCTACTTTAGTATCGATATATTATCTTTAAGACAGTGGTATTTTACCGAAATGCAGTAATTAGCTAGTTGACTGATGCAGAGAGACACTTTGTATTTTATAATTTAAATACATTGTCGTCTATCACACGAGTTTTCTACTAAAGCTCAGTATTAAATTGCAAACCAAATAAACAAAATATGTTTAATAAATATTACATTAAAATTTAAAGTATATTACATTTTTTAGTGTAAAGAGCAGAACGAACATATGATGGAAATTGCTTTACTTTATGTGGAAATGTCAGCTAAAAATGGTGGAGTATTTCCTGAAGTTTTGTTTAGTGTAGCGAAACATTGGTTTGATTTATACATACGAGTATGTTGTCTAGTATTACATTTTTTTAAACACATTAACAATAATGTATTTTAATGACTCGTTTTGTTATAGCATTCCAATTCAGATGAAGATAACTATTTAGTACAAGTGGATCCAAGAGAAGAGTACAACTGTCCGTTTGTATATCAAGCCAATTATCAAATAGATCAGTCACAACAACAACAACCTCTATATGCTCACCAACTATTGGCACCGCCTCAAACTGCTCCGCCTCATATGTATCTGTCATCAGTTCCATATTTCACCAATCAATCAGTAACACAAACTCAACCGCCATCTAATTCTCAGCAATCTAATACAGTCATGTTGTATCCGTTTCCAAGTTTGCCTACTTCAACCCAGTTTTCACAATATTATTCACCTTACGTGCAGGTAATTACAATGTTATTAAAAATAATAATTTATATATTAGCTATTAAATAATTTTATAATTCTAGCTGTATAAATATCTAAGTTAAAGTTTATAATTAAATTTTTTAAGTTAATACAATTATTTAACAGTTTCCTAGTAGTAAAATTGTCCAACTCAATTTGTTGACTAATTTTAAAAATGTAATTCAATATTGTCTTAAAAAAATATTTGGATGCAGTTATTTTTATAGTTAATTAATTCTTGACATTGTTTTGGTAAAAAAAAAATAGTTTCTTAAACTTGACACTTTTATAAGAATTATTCTTTTTTTAATTTATTGACTTTTTATTGAAAAAAAAACATACAATCTGTAAATTATTTACAATGAGTATTTTTTATAAACTATATACAATAATATATACACATGAAAAATAATTAACATGAAGAGGAAACCCCACATTAGGGGCACCTCAATGAGTATAAAGATAAATTAGTGTCTTAAATCGCAGCACCATCTTCTTTAAGAATTATTCTTATGCAATTTTAAAAGATTATATGCCTATTTTTTTCTTTTATTGTCTTAACATGGTATTTTTGTGTTCTTTTCCATAACACTGATTATTAGTTAGTTTATTTTTATATTTTGTTTATTTGATAATATATTATCAAATATAATGAAATGGTTTTTTGTCAAATTGCTTAAGGGGAGAGTGGTCATTCAATTGCTGATATTGTGATGGGCACTTCTTTTCATTAGATGGTTTTGTGCTCGCCAAATAGAACTGCTTGACTGAGCGTTGAATCTAGTGATAAGGCGATTCATAAGTGAAAAAGTAATAAGACTAGATTTTCCATCCCCATAAAAGCTCCATTTTATTATAATATTATTGTTTGATATGTATGTTAAAGTATAGTTTAAATGATAATCCACATAAAAATAAAATTATGTTGATTTAACTAAAATTTTACTGGGAGATGTATTTCTAAATATTATAGACATTTATAGGCAATTTTTATATTGTTTGTTTAATTGTAATAAGCTCGTATAAATTTCTGCAATTACCTTTTGTGTATTGAAAAAAAAAAATTATAAATCAAAATTTTGATATTTGTTTTTTATTTGTAAATTCTTGTGCAGTTTCAAAATAGCAACACTCAGAACCAGTCTCATCAAGGACCACCACCCCAGTATTTTGTTCAATCACTAAATCAAAATGGCACTCAAGTGAGGAGTCCCCCACAGCAAGCACAGGTATGAATATTATTGTATTTTATACTTATAATACTAATAAATTATATATTTTTGTAATTTATTTTTCTTAGGGAAATCATCGGCAATCTTCAAATTACGCACAAATTCAGCATCTGACATCAGCGTATCGTGTTGGGATGTTGGCTTTGGATAGTTTAGCCAGACGTGTTCATGAACCAAATCAAGCAAAATATTCTAGAAATCCCCCATTTAGAGATGATATACAATGGTTGTTAAGGTTATCCAAAAAATTAGGTAATCATTTTTTAATTTTTTTTTTTATCTTGATTTCTATAGAACTAAGTATAAATTATTTTCATTTCCCGCAGGTGTAAATTATACTCAACAATTTTGTATGGCCGTTACTAATAGTGTAGTAAACCCGTTTATACTTCATGATGTCGCAATGGAAGCAGTTTTATACATGGCACATTATAATCCCAGTCCGACCATGTGTCCGTCGTTAAGTCCTTTGGTCGAGAAATGTCATACTATGTTAGAATATAATAATTTTTTCCACAGCTAAAATAAAAATGTGTAATTATTATTAATTATTTAGGTATATTCAACTTCTTCATCAGAAATTATATCAACTTTCATCATCGGATTATGAAGATTATGTAAGCATATTGTACTCTGCATATGGGGCATTTGCAATGACATCAGAAGGTACTGCCATGTTTAAGGACTGGCTGCAATCTGTTAGGAGGTAAGTCATGTTTCTGGTTTTAGTTTTAAAACTGAAGTTCATTTGATTTCGATTCAGTTAAATGGCCCATGCCATAACCCCACCTCATTCGTTTCTACTCCTACTAAGCAAACCCAACCCAAACCAAACCAACAAAAAAGTTAATACGTAAGTTGCCAAGCCTAAAAAAAAAAAATTGATTTGGTTTATTAATTACACATAGCAATGTATTTTGTTAAACAACATTGTTAAAAATATCATCAAGGTAAGTTGGATGAGTGTGTGTTCACCATTAAAAAAGTGGAACAAGAGGATAACATAAGTAACAGAAAATTTGAATTATAAAATATGTGTGAAGTTTTGTATCAATGGCCTACTTAGCAAAAACCTCGTAAGTCAATTTTATCAAATTTTACAGGAAAAACAAATACTGTGACATACATTATTTTTTGTGAGTTTGATACCATTTTTTCACTTTATTTTTCTTTAATAATTTCTTTATTATTTAGAAATAGAAATATAGAAAAATTGTTTTGTTAATTAGTTTACACCTTTGAGTTATTTTATTTATTGATTACAAGTTTTTGATTTGAAAATTTAAGTAAATTTGAAATACGAGGTTTTAGTGAAGTATTTATTTGCATTTGTATGTTATATTAAAATATCATATTCTGCCGTGACATTAAAATGACACGTGTAAAATAAATAAGATTAATTAATTTGACCTAAATAATTATTTTCTTAACAAGAGAAATAGGCAATTTTTTTTACAAAACCATAATTTTAAGTTTAAACTGTAATGTATAATTATTAGTTTAGTAATTAGAACTCTTTTTTTGTAGTTAGTTTATTTTTCAGACTATCACAGCATCATCTTTGTCAGCAATTTTAAATATTCTTTTCATCTAAACTTAGTTATTAAGTGTTGAAACTTTCATGGATTTAAGTATCATGTGTATGAATTTCAGAAATATCCATGTCACTAGTAACTAAAGTTGATGTTTCGGACTTTTATCAGAGTCTATCGCAGACCTTAAGATGGACTCTGCTGAGTGCGAAACGTCGGCTAAAAACTAGTGACATGGATATTTCTGAAATTCGTCTCTATACAAAACATAGCTACACAGAATATGTTTTACCGAGTTCATGAATGTTTTAGAGCAAAACCACCTATAATGAAATTGAAAGATAACGACATTTTGGAGAGACAATGTCATACCCGATTTTGAAAATAACAATTTAAAAAAAGTTATAGCTATTTTAAATAAGTAATTTTAAATGTTATTAATTATTAAGCTACACATTAGGTTTATAAAAAAAAAAACGATTTGACATTGTCTCCAAAATCTTGTCATGTTTCGTTTTTGTTACAGGTATTTTTGCTCAACAATCGTCATGCAGCGAGTAAAACACGTTCTGCTTAGGTATGTTTTAACGTTGGAAAATTGGCTTTATGACGTCATCTTAAGGAACATCCCTTAATTATATGTATAAATACTTTTTTTAGATCCAAATCGTGCAAAAAGGAATTATGGGCAATGATAAATAACGTGCTGCCAACTACATGACGTTGGTGTCCTGATGTAGTCATGTTTTCAGAGGGTTGCGTACTGCCCTTTACATAACATACAGCAATTGATTATTATTATTTTTTTATTTTTTTTTTTATTTTAGTATGTCTAAACAATTACACAGAATTTATACAATTGAATATCTTCTATGATTTTCTACATTGCGTTTTGACTTAACCTATATGATAACATGTTCGCAAAAAAAAAAAGAGATTAGCTAATTTTTTTTTTAATTTTAGTAAATTTATTGTGAGTTATAATTGTATGTTTGCTCACATTTTTCTTTTTACTTTTTACTATTAGTTTTTTTTTTCGTTTATTTTTAATATTAATTTTTGTGTTTTCTTATTTTCTTTGTTTGCGCATTCAAGTCTGTTTCACTTTAAAAATATAAGCTAAATATTAAAATAAGACTGTTTTTTTAATGTACTCTACACGTACAAGTATTATTTACATCTTAGACTAGCTTATGCCTTTAAGACTTATAAAATGATATTTTTATAAAAAAAAAAATAATAAGACTTAGGTGACATTATTTGTAAACTCAGAAGCCTTCCCTATCTCTCATTCCTCCCCCAATGCTGGACTACTTACAATTATCCTTTTATCAAGATCTCTAGGCTATTTTAATTTCTATTGATGGCGATATCAACATAGCAAATTATGTAATTTTTTTTTTTATTGTCGTTACTGTAGTCAATTTTGTCACAAAAAAAAATGTATGTATTTATAAATATTACATATATATATATATATATATAATAAAAATATTTGCTACTAGTGTAAGTCTTTTTAGTATTAGTACATAACATTATATTTTATAGATAAAATTGTGTGTGTGTGTTTGTGAGTTATACATAATTTACTGTGTTATTGTGTGTAGGTTAAACAAATTTTTGAGGGAATATATATATGCATAATTTGTATTTATTACTTAATGCTTCAAATGATTGTTTATTGTATATCGGTTTCAAATTAGTATGATAAACTTGTACTTTCACCTTCGATCAAAAGATTACAGTGACTGTAGCATATTATACAATGAACGTAAAGAAAACGTATTCATAATAAACAATCACAAAATAAAAATAATAATTAATTAAATTTAATCTGCATAGGAATTTGATTCATTGTTTATGTACATTAAATTTTTATAAGCATTGTTGGCTCGCTCACTTTATTGTGCTCACTTTAGTACTTGAAGACTAATAATTGTCTATTTATCATTTAATATATTTAAATTAACATAGGGTATTATCTTAAATTACACATAAATTATATTATATATTTCTTCTTAAATATTGTAATAATTAATTGACTCGAACCAAAATAAAACACTAATGGTATCTAATATTAATTATCATTTATATATGTTATTATAATGTTTTATACTATAGAACCAATTTTAATATAATCAACTGGTTTTTTTTCAATTTATATAACTCACAAAAATACTTGTATTTTGTATGCTTTTTATTTTTTATAAATACCTAAAAAGAATCAATAAATTGTACGTAATGAAATAATTATAACAAGAATAAAAAGAGATTAGCCTTATGTCGTAATATAGGCAAATAACTAAGAATTGAATTATTTTTTCACTTATTTTGAAACGCTTGAATTTATAAAAAATAATAATTCAATTACTTGAAAGATTATTTTCATTACTCTTTTTCCTCTATACAGTGAAATATGTATTACAAATAAGCGTTTGTTTAAAAATGGTTTTATTATTTTCTGTTATAATAATTCCTAAACCTCCTTATTCCCAATAATGATCTGTCCTTAATATGTCTCAACCCGCTAGCTCCTAGCTGTTTTTAATATGTAATATAATTTTTAAAACGATGTTACCCATGCATATGTGTATTAAAAATGAAGAATACAACATGTCTGAATTCCGAGGGCTGTACGTTGGCGTCAGCCCTGCCGAGTTGTGTTTAGTAACAAAGTTATAGTTATTTTTAAAATGCTTTATACAAGTTAAAAATATTGATGCAGGCAGTTTGTTCAATAGGAATACAATTACTGAAAATTGTTTGTCAAATAAAAAAAAAATTGGCCTACAGAATACAGATGCTAAAAAAAGTTTTCGGTAAATCAATACCTCTATTGTTCGATAATTTTTAGCATTCTTATTTTAATTTAAATGCGTACATTTTTTTGTCAACTTGATGACTCCTTTGTTCGGTCAACGACCCGCGAATATAAAACGCACTTAACTAAAATATTCAGCTAAAATCAATATACCTATGAGCTTATTTCAATTTGAATAAGTTACCGAAAATTAAATTTACTAGACTACAAAACCGAGTAACGACCTGAAAAATATGGTACCCATGTGTACTAGAACTTTCGTTACAAGTGTTATTAAATAGTCATAATAACCTTCATTATTTTGTTTTATAATTTACATATTATCGTCAAACATAAAGGGTTATTTTAAAAACCTCTGTTGTCAATCGGTTGTGCGTTATGCATTCTGTTGACATAATAGATCCGAGCCTAATAATTTCATTTTAAAATTCGCAAGTGCTCGCTGAAATTTAACTGTTCATAATTAGTTTATACGTTGTATTTGCAGATTGGCTAAATAATGGTACGGTTAAAATGTTTCGTTACACTAATTCTTATAGTTTGCACGGCAAGTATTTCAAGTTCTGCAAACAAATGTTCTTTCGGAGCTTGTTTCAAAGGAAAAAGGAAGGCCGTGCAAGACGAACCTGTAGCATTAATAGAAGAGGTACAAATATTAAATTTAGGAAAACTTATTGCTTAGTTCTCATACAACGATTCGTCTTGTGTTTACCTATAATAAAGTTATAATTAAGGAGCAAGGACTTTAATAACGTTCGTCATTTAATTATGTTAATAGAATCTTGTTTGGTTCTATGGTCAGATATTTATTTTCACTCAACTGGATTATAATTTATACTTATTCAAGATGGTTAGAAGTTTTGGAAAAGTACCTACGTCTGATTTTCAAATATTTATAATTAATTAATAATTTATATGTATTTTTGTTCACCGTATTTTTTCAGTTTGGTCTAACTTCACAGTATCACATTATTTTTTGATAGTATAACCTCATAGTTTTAGTAATTTAAACATTTTTATTGATTAGGTAAATAAAATTATTAACTATTAATTAATTTTGAATCTTTTTTGTATTAAATTAAAAATTCTAAATACTTACAAATTTTGTTAAACTTTTAACTGCGTCAATGATTGAACAGAAAATTATTTATTAATACAATATTATAGGTCAACATTTTTTTGTAAATTGATGAATAATATTAGTTGAGCAGATCGCGGTTTTAAGCCATTTTTTGTCGGTAGTTTACCGATACAAAACGTAGTAGATCTTAAAGAAGAGTCGGATGAAGACAAAATGGACTATAAACGGTCGTATTTGTCGGTAGTAAACGATTACGGTTTGTGAAACGAGAATCCGACGAGAATTTAATATGATTTTTTTTTTTTTGATGATGTCTTACAATTTGTGTGGATCTTCAATTTCCAAAGCCGTAGTACTAGTAACTTTTATTGATTTTTTAACCATAAATGTTGTAATTTTTGCAATTGAAAAAAAAAACGGTAATCTTTGTGTCCTGTAAAAAAACTATTTCTTAAAAAAATTACATTTCAACAAAAAAACTGGCCGCGAAAACAAAAATATTAAAATATTTTCCAAGTTATGTTCCAAAGTAATATGTTGTATAACAGTATTTTACTATATATTCTTAACATAAATTACCTATCAATTCAATTTGAAATAAAAGTTTTGCATTTTCACATTGTATATAGGTATAATGTATAGGGTTTCCACGAGGATTTACTAATTAAAATATGTGATGTGGAAAGCAGAAAGGGACCTTTGTTGGCAAAGTTGATTTCGATGAAAACGCCAAAACATCAATTTAGGTTGAAATTATTTTATTTAGTAAAAATAATTTTAGGTCGGGAGTCTTTAAAATTCGTATAAATAGATTTAGGTCGAAATTAATATTAACCGACCTCGGAAAAAGGGATCATAATTTTACTCTCTGTTATGAAAGAGTAGTGTCTATAACTGGAGTAATCATTAGGAAAAAAACAAAATTTCAAAATTTCTCTTTTCATAGGATAATATATTATAATTAGTTGCCTAATTTTCGGGGAACGCCTTGCTTGTGTTATTGCAAAATGTAGTAGGTATATAGATTTGTAATTAGCTGTAAATGCGTGACAGCTTTTTGCTTTACTCCTAGGAGGGGTGGAAACCTTTTCTTTAGTTCGTTTTTGGGGGTAGTTATATGGCCCAGCAGTTTTGCTGGTTTAACAGTCTATTAATTTAGTTATGTTTAGCGAAATTGTAAGAAACAACTGTTTTTACCGTTTATAAAAAGTAAGCATAATGGGGATGAGACATGATGGCTTATAGTGGCTTCGGGATGATCAAAGGTCAGCAAGACTGAAGTCTGAACGGTTTACCTTTCATCACTCACAAGAAAACACTTCGATAAGAGTCCATAGGTACAAGTTACAACACAAACGATAAACAAATGAATTTCTTTTCTATTAGTTCAATATATGAAGTATTGTATTGAATAAATATGATTTTAATTAGGATTAAACAGAATAGATTATTTATCTATTAGATGACATTAAATACAATTATCGTCCTCGTCATGACAAATCGTGCTGCTACTAAGAAAATTATTGTGTTGAATTTTGTTTAATTAAAAACTGTAAAACGGTTCAAATATTTGTATTAATATCAGCAAAATGTGTCTTCAAACGACCTGAATTTACTATTTTTAATTTTTAGAAACGAACATCAGATGAAATAATGAACGTTGAAGGACCTCCAAAGACGAACTATGATATTTTGTTTTTGCAATTTTTAAACAGTTTAAAAACATCAGAAAGCGCATCAATTGAATTTACGGACGGGGAATTAGTTTATCTATCTAAAAACAGACAAATATTAGATACGGACGATTTGAAAAATAAGCTGAACATAAAAATCCAATCACTGAAATGCGTTTATGGTTATATCATTCACAAATCTTTGATCGATTTGAAATCTTTGATTGACAAGTCAACGGCTGGCAGAAAAGATGCAATGGGAATTGTAAACGACTCTGAAGACGTGAATATAATTAAAGCAAAGGTGTTGGTAAGAAATTTAAAAAACTACATTTCTCGAATGTTGTCTATGCTATACATAGGTAGGGCCGTTGCAGCCAATTGGTTGTGGAACGTTTATATGAAATTGAGCGCCATCGATTATCAATCGATCCCTTTGATCGAACTTTTTAGAGATAAGACCTCTTTAGAACAAATGTCGAATTTTGTTGAAATGTGCAATAGACATGGCTACATGCAATTTTTTGAAATGCCAAAAGAGATACTTGGCCAAGATCAATATTTTAGTCGGAATGTTGTAAAATTATTAGTGGATGTAAAACTTTTAGAAGATCAAAGTTCAAATAAATGTTATGACTTTTCAGGTCACTTTAGTACAAGCAATATTTTTCTAACTCAACTTAAAGGGAACGCCAATATGATTATTCCGGAGTTGCCAGAAATGACTACTATCCGGGACGAATATAACGTGAAACTATACTACTCACAATTTATCCCACATCAAGAAAGTCACAGTTCTCATTTTCAGTTGGGTTATTATTATGGATTACTAAAACGCATGATGACAACTGCTTTGTACGACTGCGTTTGGACACATTTGCTGAGTTACTCGAGAAATACGTACAAAACGAAAGAACCACTTTCAGAAGACCAAAAGAAAATATCAAGGAAATATTTGCGATTACTATTAAATTCGATAGAGGAAGCTGTAGATTTTCTTGATATGCATGGTAATGAGTATTTTAAGAGTCTAATTAGTGATTTAAAAAATAAAAAACATTTAGATACAAAGTCGTTAGACAAATATATAAAAGATGCCCAAAATAAAGTGTTTTATAATTTGATTTCGATGGGTGCAACTGTGAACCCACAAAATTGGACAAAGTTCAAAACCCCCTCGTTGTTTGGGGTAAAGTTAATAAATCTTCAGTATCTACCAAACGAAAGGTTAGGAATAAATAAGTTCAATTATTACATTGAGTCAATAAAAAAATCAATAGCACCAATTAAGTTCAGAATGTTAAATTTTTTTATTACGAGTAAATCTGAAAATTGGTTGGACCAATTCGGTAAACTTCGTGAAAATCAGTTGTACTTAAATAAAACACCTTTTAATCATATTACAATATCTGGTGAAAAAAAAAGAAAAGAATTAAGCAATTTTCCGGTTACATACGAAAAAAGAGAAGACGTAAAACCTATAATAAATGTATTAGGTGAAGCAACAAACAAAACTGATAATAAGAATGTCTTAAATCTAAAAGAGAGTACGAGTTTAAACAAAACCAATTTTGAAAGTATAGAAAAAAACAAACCTAAAGGTGCTTATCAACCAAAAAAAGTTTCAAAAATCATGTTCATCTCAGATTTACAGTCTAAGAAACATGAAAAATATTCAAATAAAATCGGAATAAGCCAAGAAGAACGCAATGATCTTTCGGGGACAAACAAAAACAACTCATCAAATGAAAAGGAAAATCACAGTAAATTAAATAATGCAATAAATGAAAATTACAAGAAAGAAAACTTAAAAACTGAAAAATATGGACACGATGTGCCAATAAACAATAAGTCAGGAATAAATAAACCAATACCACAAAATAATATAGAAATTAAAAAAGAGTCAAAAGAAGACAACGAGACCAATGAAACAAATAACGGCTTGTCATTGGATAGAATGCCGGGATCGATCAATGGAAACGAAAATCAAAAGATACAAAAAAAAGTAAGATTTAAAGATGGAACTAAAAACGACGTACCATGGGGTACAATGGGGGGGATTTTCAATGAAAATAAAAAGATACAAAACGAAGTAGAACTTAAAGAAGAGTCAAAAGAAGACAACAAAATCAATAGAACAAAACACAGCGTGCCATGGGGTAAAATGGCGGGATTGTTTAATGGGAATAAAAATCAAAAGATGCAAAACGAAGTAGAACTTAAAGAAGAGTCGAAAGAAGACGACAAGATCAATAAAACAAAAAACAGCGTGCCGTGGGGTATAATGGCTGGATTGTTTAATGGGAATAAAAATTAAAAGATACTTATGGCCAATGGGTGAAAATGATGTAGAACATGGAAAGGAAGCTATTGAAGTCGGTTATATCAAAGTTGAAAAATAAAGTTGAAACGGTGTTTATTAAGGGAATTTAATAGCTTTCACACATTATACCTACTATAATGAATAAGCCTGTGTAAAATAATATATATACGCCATATTTAGTTTTAAGACATATAAGAGTCTTCGTGCGTAGTGTTTACATTGTTATCTTTATGTTTGTTGAATAATTTTTTTTTTTAATTTTTCGTAGACAGTTACTATTTAATTATATTTTTGGGAGTGTGTTTTTTTAATAGAATCAAAACAAATAATTTATAAATTGCGTTTATAGTAAAAATACTGTAATAACTTTTGTTTTGTGTTTTTTATTCTTTTTAAAATAACATTTACTTTTTTTTTCAGTGTTCGATATAGGATTTTATGACATTTTTATGTGAATAATGTTTGTTGAGAATGTCGAAGACTAGGAGGAGTACCGGTTTTTTGATGGTATAGTTGGTGGAAGGAAAAATAATGAGTGAAAAATATTTAACATTATATTTAAAACTTTTAAGATGCCTGTGATCCGAATAATAGTATCAACAAATCGATTATAAAAATTAAACAAATGTATTAAATACTGTAACGTATAATTTGTATGGCAGATAACCCTGCGCCTACATACTTGTTGTGACTAAATAGACAAAGTGAAAAACAGAATGCCAAGTTAGGTAATATACTTTATTCAAATCGGTTTTCAGATTACTTATCGGATTACTGTACAGCGGACAAAAAATGATGTGTTTTGACTAAAAAGACGGTCAGTTTCGAATTTCCTTATTATAACTTACCTCTTACATAAGACTTTTCTTATAAGGTCTGAATTTTCAAAACGGGATAAATCCCATTTTTCTTGAGCGGAAGTTTAGAATACCATATAAATATTATACTAGAATATAATGATAATAGTATTGTATAAATTGACATGTTAGAGAAAACTTGAAACTTCTGTTTTTTTGCCATCCTGTAAAATTTTCCAAAATGGACTACCGAAAAAAAACAGGGATTTATGCTGGAAAAGAGTTAGGCTACTCCTTCTGACTACCTATACGGTTAAGTTAGGTCGCCCAGTAAACGTAATGCTGCACTAGGCCACTCTTTGGCGACATATCGAAATAATTGTTTGATCTGTATAATTAATTTATGTTTCCTTGTATAGATTTAATGGTCACCGTCAATGTGTATCGATAGAGAACGATCCTTGCTACCATAACTTGGTGAGTTATAGTGGGCGTTGCCTTTACTTCTATTTGACGAGCAGCCAAAATCTTGTATTCAGATTTTTTGTTTGAACAAAATTCCCATAACGTTACTCGGTCGGTTTTCGATCCTTTTGGACGCCAGCCCAAACAACCCCTGTGGTGTTGATGTAAAGATGAGAGAACAGATTGTTGGGATGTTTAACATCACGGATCTTGACTAATATTTAGAGTTTATCAAAATATAATGTGTAACTGATATTTTTATAAAGCAAATAACATTTTACGATGAAGATTTTTAATTTGTTTAACTATTATACATTTCACAAGTTATAGTTCAGGTTATTTCCAACAAAACGGAAATTGCATTGAAAAAACAAATTTAAAAACATATTACGTTGTTAACAACAGTAAAGACTTAACAGTCGTAACAGTTTTTGAGATATTCATTGATCTTTTCAACAAAACTTCTATTTAATAACATGTATAACAATAATAAAAAGGTTGTATTTATACAAAAATGTTTATTTACATTAAAAACAATTTTATTTATGGAAAAAATAAAATAAACTTACAATTAGAAAATAGTAATAGGTTTATAAAGACAGTCATAACAAAAAATATACCAAATTAAAACAGAATAATTTCGTAAAAAAGTCGAAACTAAAATGAATATCACTCAACGAGAATCGTATACTTCACAATATACATTATCATTATGAAGTGTACTCATCATGATTATAAAAATAGATAAAATATTTTTTTGTCAATAATAACTAAACAAAATGAAAAATATTTATGTTGAGCTAAGAGTATTTGTTTTATTATAAATTAAAATATCTGAGACACTTAGTTAAACAATTTTAGATTAAATATACTTATAGGCATTGCGGTTGTAACGACTGATAAAACAATTTTACTAGAATTACTGGATTTACTACTATGTTGAAAAAAAGGAGCGTTATAAGGGAATAATTATCTATCTACATGATGTTCTTCGATTCAATTGTAATACAGGATTATACTTAAAATACTTTCTTCAGTTGCAACGAAACTAAATTATTTCATACAAATTGTAGTAATTTCTGATATTAATAATTTTTGTTGTGTAAGCTTAAAACCTTTTTACTATTAGTTTGTATCGACTCAATTTCTGTGTTATTAATACCCAGCAATACTAAACCTCTAACAATATGAACTTAACTTCCAACTTTGCCCTATTTTTTTATTTTATTTGTATCAAAATCAATAGTTTTTACATTTGAATATATTTTAAAAGTACAGAATATTAACATTTATATCATCGGTTGCATTCTTCCCTTATTTACATACAAAGGCTGAGTTTCGTGAAATGCGGGGAAACGATTTTTCAAATACATATTAAAATACTCAGTACGTCACTTAATATTACAATACTACTTTTATTATAATAAGAAGTGACGTACTAAGTGAAAAATCGCCAAGTATTTGTGAATGTCAAAAAACTGAAATAATAACATTAAAGGTAAAAGAACAAAGTACGTCAAAAACGTATTACAGTCAAATGAAATTATCCATTGTATGTTGTAAACCTAACCGAGCAAGGAAAATATATATAAAAACTTTTTAGTGATATTTTATAATGTACAAGAGACGTACAAAAAGCGTAGAAATGTTTTTCGTGTACAACAAATTACTTTTATTACTGCTGGTAAAAATTTAAAAGTGCCCGTACATTTTTGTCTTATTAAATAAGTTATACATGTCTGATACTTACTTCAAATCTAAGCAAATGATAAATTAATGTGGAACTTTCGGGGGTTTGGCTTCGAAGATTTAGTTATATGATGTTTGATTAGTCATACAATTACTAAAATGGACTGTGTGGTGTTATATGTTCTGGATTAGGATTTAGGCATTACATTAAACATTTAAACATTTGTGGTGAACGTAGCCTTTACGAGGACACGCGTTCAATTGACGACAATTTATAAACGACGTTTTGATATAATCCAGTCATGTGCTCTCTTAGGACGGATTAATCATTCATTTCTTGGCAGTGTACTACACTTTCACAATGTCTACTCCATTTCGCATAGGTTCCAGCGAATCTTCTGGCGATCTGTCTGACCACAGTTGGTGCATCGGCGATTTCAACGGAGAACCAGACGAATATGATCCTCAAGTAAGAAATTAATATATTCCGGATGGTCTTTAGATCCCTTTCTTCTAGTAAATGGGTAAACAACGAAGTATTTGTTCTCATGGAAAGGCATACGGGATGAATCGACTACATTAAAGTTACCTATATAGCTATATTAATAATGCAATATGTCTCAAGTACTTTGATATTTGATCTAATTTATTTTAGATAATAATTTATGAAACCAAAATATGATGTCTTATAAATATAGTTCTCTAAAATAACTCCTAAGTATACGGTAACATTCATTATAATAGAGACATTGAATTAGTCCAAACAAATCTAATGATTTAAATTTAACAAAAAAATGTCTATTTTTTAGCGTTATGTATACATAATATGTATTATATTATGGTTTTTTTTGTGATATTGGTTTGTGTAACGTGTGTACACCTATTATTTTTTAAAAAAAATAAATATATTGTAAGTTTTAATATAGGTACGTACATAATTGTTAGCTATTACAATGTTTGATTAATAATCTGCGTATGTTAGCTAACGCCAGAAAGAGTGAAGTTGGACGGATATGACTCAAGCGATACATTTAGTGATATTTTGGAAGATGTGGTCATTAACCATAGGTCTCACGGAGTCGGTCACAACCATCAAAAAACTGTGTAAGTTAATAAATTCAGTTTGCAATACGATAATAAATTTCTTTAAATTTAGGTATAAACATCTTAACTTTCTTAAAATTACTTTTTTTTTAATACTGTGTAAAACTGCAATAGTGGTAATTTACTTCAAATAAAATTTAAATTAGTAAAATGTAGCATTTTAACTATGGTTGAAACGGATAGAATAAAAGTCAACTATGTAATTCTAAAAAACACTATTCCTTAGGTTTGATTTTCCTTTAGTAAGTTAACAACCAATTAATGCCAATCCGGCGAGATGTAAAAGCCGTATTCTACTACATTAATGTTTTAATTTGAAATACAAACTTTAAATTAATTTTGAATTTGTATTTTTTTAAAGTAAACGATTATATTTTTCATGAAAAATAATGAGTGGTAAAAAATAATTAAAATCAATTATTTTAAGGGATGGATGTTGGTTGGAGTGGGGTTTATTGATCGCTAGGAATTATGGAATATTACTATGCAAACTAATAGACAAATAAGTTTTTTAATTAAAAATTTAAAAAAATGTATTTTATAAGTCAACCTATCTTGTAGCTAATAAACAATTCTGGTATGATTTACGTAAAACCCGTTTTTAGGGGTTTTTTTAAATAAATTAAAAAATAAAGTTGTTAATTTCGTTCTATACATTTGTATTACATGTGTGAGTCAAACAAGTGTTTTTAAAAATAGTACAAAAATATTGATTCAGCGCTTTGGTTATTTTTTAAACTTATGGTTTATATGGAGACACTTGAAAAGTCTATATGTTTTTATTTTTAATGAGACAAAACTGAACATAAAAAATGTGTGACCACTTTTAAACATAAACTAAGTAAGCTTTTTAATAAATTGAGATTTTTATCAGAAGATATCTTTTCAGTGTTAGCAATGTTATAGTGTACAAAAAACTATAATATTTTAATAAACATAAACCAATGGCTAAAGGTCTAAATCGAAACTAAAAATGATAGAATTTATTACTTTTTATTTATAAGAAATATCAATATTAACTATAATAGACCAGTATGAAATATTGCTATAACTATCACTGCACCGTTGGAAGTCCCTGCAGGTTCTTTCGGTGTAGTTTAATGGCTTTCCCATGTTTCGCTTCAAGTATTAATAATTGTTTTTCGAATATAGCGATGCCCAAATTGTTTAACCGAGCTTAAATAATCTTAGACTTAAAATACCTTTTATAATAAGAGTAGGTACAATTTATTTTTATTTAAGTTTGTTCATGGTTGCAATAATAATTTGCACGTGTCGCTACTATAATTAATATTTTAAATTAAATTAAAATGCTTAAATAAATGTTCAACATATGATAAGAAAACTAATGGAAAAAGTTTAGATTTATTAAGTTTTAGGTTTCATACTCGACGAGTCTAAATGTTTAGAACATGACGTAGAAAACAATAATTTTACAATTAAAACTGATATTTTTGCTATAAATTTAATTTAACTAATATGGTTGTGTTAAAAAATGCAGTGTTTCAAATGAAACTAACATAATATTTAATGTAATATTCCTCAAATATAAAATTTTGATTATTTTTAAAACTATTTAATAAGTAATTAATACCAATTAGGAGAAAAATAAAATCAGTGTTCTTAATTAATGTTTTTAACATATTATATAAAATACAAACTTATAAATTAATTTTTATTTTACTATTAGTGATATGAAATATTTATCTCATAAAGTTACTTAACTAATGTAGTACGATATTATACAATTTTATTTAAATTTCTTGCTAGATATTCAAATATATTTTTTTAAAATTACATATTCAAATATGTATGATTTATTTTGTACAGCATTATGGGCATTATCCTTATGCATTTGTTTGGAAGCTATGGTTCTCTGAGAAATTTGTTTTTCAAATCTCGGAGAGACCGGTGGTTGCCATACGTCTAACTATACAACAAAGTTTAGTGTATTAAACATACCTATTATATTAAAATGTTTTTTAGGTCGCCAATTATTCAGACTGTCCGAAAATCATCAATGGCTTCGCAAACAGATTCGGATAAGTACGGAACGCTGGACGACAGGGACGCGATATCAGTTAATTCCATGACTAGCATGAATTCCATATCGAGCTTGCTGAGAGAAAAACTAATGGTATGAAATTGAAAATCAAAATCGTAAAACAGTTTCGTCGACAGCATATTATGATATTGTTCGCAGTTGAATATTCAAAAAATCTCCAAGGACAAGCAATTACAATCCGACTATAAATTGAGGGCGTTCATTATTTTTTTGTTCGTCACCATCGTTTGTTTATTGAAGTTCGCGCACGTATATTACGACCGACACGTGTTGCAAGTGAGTGGTGGAGTTGTTTTGTAATTTTGAATATTATAGACAGTCTGCAATGCGGTAATTGTGTGTTCGACGAAATACCGACAGAGGGCGTATTTCAAGTACACGAGATTCAACAAGGTGGACCGTTACCTGCGTTTGTTCAGCGTCGACGGGCACGAGATAGCTTTTGGTCATTTGGGATTGGAGCTCGCCGAAAAGGAGAAGGTGTTCGATTGCTTGCCCGAACACAGTAAACCACCCAACGTGCAGTGTTTCGAGTGGATGCAAAAAGCCAGATTATATTTGTCCCACGAGGAAAGGCCCGACGGGTTGAACTGTTACACGGTAGAGTGGTTCAGCTTGACGGACAAACACAGTCCCGTAGATTGTTTCGATGACGGAGAACAATACGGACATTGGTTAGTCGAATAATGTAGCACGCCATCCCCACATAGTACTTGGCTGTAGAAAATCTTGAATTTTTCGATAGTTTGTATTTTGTAAAGATATAATAAGCGTTATAGGTATGGAGGCGGACGAACATTGGGAATGGCGTGGCCTGTGCAGCTAGGCAGGATTGAAATGTCTCCGTTTATAACCGGACATGTAGGCAAACGCCGTTGGGGTAATGTCCTCGGAAGATATTTTATCAACTCCAAAGGAGTAGCCATCAATGTGCACCCTGACACACCACTGCATGTGTCCGTTAATGCCGGCCGCGAAAGTAGACTGTGTCTCAAGGTTAACAATAAAATATTTATTGAAAATTAATGCTACGACAAAATCGTTTTATTTCAAAATTATTATAGTTCATATTATCGCCGTATTTTTATGTCAGGCCAGCCACGACGATTTCGCTTACAGGAAGATGGACAGCTCTCCCAGCCTGAATTACACGATATGCTCAGCTAGGAACATGAAGACGTTGCACTCGGCGCTTTCAGAGAAAATGTTGTGGGACGGTTTGAAAGCTTCGGATGCTGAAATAATTAACTCTTTGTTGACTGAACCCGTATGGCAGCTGGCGCCTACCACCAAGGAATTGCTGAACGAATCGACCATGGTCAATTACACCGAGGACATAATAGCCTTAGGCTTCATCAAGCAAGGTAAATTGTTTTATTCATTTTCGTATAAGCAATTTAGTTATGTTTTACCGTGGTCCTTTGGCAGGCCATGTGCTGTTAAACGAGTTTTGGCAAGAGGAAATGGGCGATTTTTCTTTGGATCAGAAAAGATTTCCCACGATGAAAGAAACGATAAACATTATTCACAGGAGAGGATTCCGCATAGTCGTCACGATACAGCCGTTCATAAGTACAGAATCTAGAAATTTTGCCACAGCCGTCAAAGAGGGAATCCTAGTAAGTGTTTCGAATTTGAATAACAGTTCTATTCAAAAGAGATCGTCTATGATAAACAAATATTGATGTACTCGCAGGTGATGCAAGTTGGAAACGAACGGAACGTACCGGCTTTGACGAGGTATAAGTCAGTTCACAGTGCCGGGATGTTAGACATAACGAATAAGAAGTGCGGCCCGTGGTTGCAACAGCAACTCAAAGACCTCGTCCAGAAGTATCAGTTCGACGCATTTTATTTGGATATGGGTACAAACGCCTCTACAAAACCATGCCAGGTAAATAATGTAATTTATCTTTTTCACTCGGTGATTACAGGGTCTGCTTACGACTTGCCGCGTCACTACTTGTTCGCCGAAAATTTGACCAATCCCGACTATTACAAATCATTATTCTCTCAATACGTGTCGGACAGCGTCAACGTCTTTGGCGTGTCTTCAGCAATAAGCCGACCACCTGCGCCGATTTTCGTTTCATTGCTTTCTTTGGCCTCTACTTGGGACTCTCTTCAAGTGATCATACCGACAATGCTCACGTACGGAATCGTGGGCTATCCGTTCTTGCTTCCCGGACCAGTTGGCGGAGATTTTCAAGTTGAAAACGTTTCGCTGCACGGTCTTATATCGCCGGGTAGGTAAACGAAGCGCTTACATTGAAATCGTATTAACTATGTAAATGCTATTGTATTTTCATCAGACAATCCGCCAATAGAAATCTTGGAAACCCAATCGTTGAAAGAATGTAGACATAGCGGGCAAAACGTAAACGCAAGCCGTGAGTTGGTAATGAGATGGATGCAATTGGCGACGTTTCTGCCTGTAATACGATATGCAAGATTACCTAGTGACTGTGACCCACAAGTGCTCCAATTAACTAAAAACTTGACGTCTCTCCGCCAACAAATAGTGAGTATTACTTCTAGGACTTTTTTTTTATACTGTATTAAATTTAAGAGGCATATTATTATAGATGCGAAACTTATCATTATGTTTTTGTATTTTAGATAAATCCTCTATTAAAAAGATATGTTCAAGAAGCACTAGAAACTGCCATACCACTGATAAGGCCTTTGTGGATGCTAGACCCTTCTGATACGACTTGTTATATTGTAAAAGACGAATTCTCGGTAGGCGAAGAAGTAATCGTAGCACCAATACTAAGACCAGGTGCTACAGAGCGTGAAGTTTATCTACCAGCTGGAGTATGGAAAGATGGAATCGAGGGTAGTTTGAGAAAAGGTTCACGATGGATACATAACTATAAAATACCTCTAGAAAAAATTGCATATTTTGTAAAAATGCCCAATAATACTAGATTTTAGTGAACTGTTTAGTAACATACAATAATTTTTAGTTTGTATTTTATGTTATTTATAACTTTACGGTAGTACATGTTTTAAAAACATAATTTATTTAAGATAATAAAAAATAACAATTTAAACTAATGCAATGTTAAAAATATGTGCAAAATTGGATAAAAAAACGATCAATTATCATTATTATTATCATCATCATCATTATTAGTAGTCAATATTGGTTTAACAAAGATAATTCTAGTTTGATAATCATGAATTTGTTATTTTATTTATAAGTCGATGGATATTCTATGAATATTGTTAAAAAAGTTTCAAAATTTGAAACTTTAAAGAAAACTAACAAGTTAAATGATTAAATTAATTTAATATTTGTTTATCTGTTGTAAGGAAAGGGCAATTTATTTAATTATTAATTATTGAATTTATTATTTTAACAGTAGTCGTTATAAAAGGAAATTATGTCATTATTTATTTAGACTAAATTATCCCATGTTATATACCGAACACACTGTATACATTACTTATCCTCATTGATAATACCTCACTGGTTTTTCATTTTATTTGTTTGTTTAAATGCATCTGCAAATTTAAATGGCGATTGTTTTTTAAAAAGAATACACCACAACTGCCGCACATGCATACACAACATTTTATACTTGTATGAAAAATATCATGTATATTATGTGATATGTTTGCATTGTTTGCTATGGTTATTTACCAAATAAATAAAAGTAATAAAATATTTTGTTCACAATGGACAAATTATTTATTCTTACATAAAACATGATGTAGATAAACAGTTGTGAACCATACGAAGTTTCATGGGAGTTGTCAAGTTGTATTTGAAGATCAGTTACTTGAAGTTCCTTGTTATTTTTTAAATTTTAAGTGTCTTACGACAGAATGTGTAATATCAAATTTTATTTTCTTGTTTTATACTTGCAAATCACTAGTTTTTGTAATTTAGAATGTTCTAATGACAATTTACAGGTATGATTTTGGCATTATTTTTTATTAACTTAAATTTTAAAGTATTACTTACATATTATTTCTTATGATTTCTTAGCACAAGGGTGCGAAGTCTTAAATCATAGAGTATGTATCTGAATATAATTGGTTATAACTTATAAGTTACGGTTCAAGAGAAGTAAATGACTTAAATAAAGCTATTTTAATTTATACCTAAAGAACATTGTTAGATTAAAGTATATCAAATATTTTAAAGTTAGAAGAAAACAAAATGGAGTCATCGTTGAGTTTGGCTTGTTCTTAATTGAATTTCTTAAGGCACCGTAAAAAAATTCTTATGAGTTGCTTATGCTGCTACAGAATATACAGATGTACCATATGTATACATCTTGCAAACCATATTCCGGAAATGGTTGCAGTCTAAAATCGTAATATGTTTTACTTTTACAATTTAATTAAATTAATAATAAATTATTGATTATGGGTTTTCACTAAACACAAAAATGTGTTGAGATTTAAAGATATGTTTAATGTTACATTATTTCATTTTACAATTTGTCCACTAAAGCTGTACCAAAAAAAAAAAAGAAAAACTCGTTTAGTATTCTTATGTCGTAGTTTAAAAAATATTACTGTAAAACGTATAACTACTAATTTTAGCATAGTTTTGGCTTGGTAAATAAATTATACTACTGATAAATTCAAATTTTAGTTTAGGATTAGTCAGAAAAATGAAATAACAATATTTATAATGCTAGAAATAAATAATAATTTTTTAACATATTTTATTAACTTAACATTTATTGTTTTCTGTTTCACCTGCACAGACGTGGTGAATTTTACTTAATTTTATATTTATAAAAAAAGAGAATAGTTCTCTCCTGCCGAGAGGAACCGTTTAACTTTAAAGCAATGTCGAGTTATTGTTCAGTCGTTTTTGACGTACATATTGTGTCGTGTCAAATTTGAAACTTGAAAAATTATCGAGGGAAAGAAATGGACATTCAAAATGTTTACCCCCCCCCCTGTATTACTTCTCGATACGATCCTTAATCGGTTTATGTTTGTTTGATTGACTGATAAATGTTAATGAAATTTTGTTTTTAGGAAAACAACACTAAACTATTTTTAGACGATAGTGAACTTGATCGCTATAAATTATTTGTCAATACAATAAACGAAATCAAAACAATGGGCGATGTTCAAGTAATTTTCACGGAGTCCGATTTGAATAAGATATTTAATATTGATTGTTATGACGAAAAAGACGAAGTAATTGTAAAATTTCAAACAAAAATTGAATGTTTGTTGTGCACCTACAGTTTGATAGTGAAATACATGTTGTATCACCTCAAAAGTCTAAGCAAATCGAAGATGTCGGATGATGTAATGCTCTTGGAAAATTCAGTAAGCAATAACATTACAGAGGAAGTTGAGGAAATGAAAATTATACAATCAAAAAATAATAATAAAGCAAAACGTGTCACGTTTGCTGACAAAACGAGATGTATAAATCTAGACAAATTATATGCACATGCCATTTTTAGGACAGAGATGCCCGAGGAGTATAATGAGGATCTTGAAGTTCTAAAGAAATTGAATAGAGAAAATAAACATCCAATAAAACATCAAAATATCATTGAATTATTCACTGAAAATGTGCAAAAAATGCTATCAGTATTGTACACTGGTAAAATTGTCGCTCCTGATTGGTTGTGGATCTTTTCAATAAAACTGAACGCAGTGAATGTAAGACAAATGACTGTTGATGAATTTTGCGATGAAAAACTTGAAATTTCTATTCACGATCATTCAAAGCATTGTATGGATCATAACATTTTAGAACCAATCGAACTAATGGAAGTACAATTCACATCAAAGAATTCAGAAAAATATATTAGAAATCTGTTAATGGAATTATTGTATGAATCTTCGGATGGTTTGGTTAAAATTTATAGATATAATGTACAATTTAATATTTATACGTTTTTTTGGACAAGACATGACAATTCAAAAAATATTCCCTTTAATATTGTACCTTCGCGTAGACATTTTCCTTGGTATGACATATTACGATCTAGCCAATATTCGTATTACGTAGCTGCATTAAGTGTTTGCATAGGAAACATCGGCAAAACGTGGAAAACCGATTACTTTGTTATACGTAAGTACTTTGAGTTTTTAAAAAAATCGCTTTTATCTATAACGGCTTATTGTATTTTAAAACACAGTTTGTTTTATATTAAAAACAGATGGCCATATCACACAATTTATAGAGCTTTTTTTAAGTGGATTTACATACGGGGGTCAAAAGAGATCATATATACACAACTACTTGATGAATTTTTAGAAAGTCCACGAGGTGTATTAAGTGATATCAGTCGATTTTTAAAAATGGAAAAAGATAAATTTTTTTTAGATATAGATGAACACCTAAGATCAACAAATAACAAAACAGAAAAGCAATTTAAACAGTTTACTTTCAAAAGACTTTATACTTATTTCAAAGAGTATTCGAAAGCTCTAGGGTTAAAAAATATAGCTTCTTTAATGAGCATGAATGTGAATTTAAAGCATATCCACATATTGAAAACAAGTAAATATGATCTGCACTTGTGGCCTCTACTATTAAATAATTACTATACTATTATTCGTTTGTTTATGTCTCCTGTAAATTTCTCAATTTACGAATACTTCAAAAAAAGTGAACTAAATAATTATGACAGAGATTTTTCTTAAATTTAAAAAAAAAATGAGCCTAACGTCTTCAAAACTAATATTGTAAATGTTACTAAATTATTCAATCTTTTAGTAGAAATAATTGTATTAAACATAGAGTAATTATGATTTTTTATGTTGTAGTAATCTGGATTTAATTAAATCATAACATATAGTTATCAAACTGTGGAACGATTTATGATCGAACATTTTTTCATAAAGTCTTATGAACCGTTAAATAAATTCAGTATAGATAGAACGCTGTGTCAGCTTCTTCATATAATAGGTAGGCTTATAGATAACAAATCACAAAATAGTACACCACTGGTATTTTATACACCCAAAAGTTGAAAAAGTTTATACTTCTCTTCAAAAACGAAAAAAACATCCTGACTATTATGATATTTTCAACTTTCCAAAACATAGTTGAGATTCAAATTTGCTTAATTTTTTTTTTAATACAGACCTACAGGTGTAGTAACACCAGTATTAAGACATTTAAGACCAATAATATTTTGGTTTATATACAATTATTTAATACTTTTTCTGATCATAGATTCTGATTGAAGCTTTTTTTAAAGTTATTTCAATAACAATAACAATAAAATATTTATTTATTTATTCTTACTAATTTTGAACGTTTTCAAAGTAATATTTAATTATTATTTTAACAGTAGTGTAATACAACTTGTCTAATGTATGGAATCGATTCTTTCTGTATAAAATATTAAACTATATTGTATTGTATATGATTTTTAAAAATGATTGTTAAAAAAATATGGTAGTAGAGAATAAACACCTGAAGAACTTATTTACCTTTGGCTTGTACAAATAATCGTCATAGTGAGTACAAATACCTATGTTTTACTAGTGTCTTATAAATATGCTGTTCAGGTGAATTAGAAAATATATGTTTTTTAAAATTATAATTTACACATTTGAACGACTTTTTGTTAGTTGTAATAATGAACTGGTTTTGTAATTTATGCATTAGTACTTTATTATTGTATCTAAGTTTGCTGTATGACGTGGGAATAAAAGCCTCCAAGGTAAATACAAATGTTTACATCAATAATTACAGTTATTACTCAAAATATAAATAGTAAATCTATAATAATTATATGACTATATAACCTAACCTATCCTACTCCTAACTCTTTGGTAATTGGTATATATGATGCGCATGGTACCAGAAAAGCTTAACCTATAAACAATTTAATTTTGTCGAATTATATTAAACATTTTAGAATAATATTCTAATATTTCAAAGCCTAACTGACCCAAACCAAATTGATGATATTTAAGGTAGATAGATTTTTGATTTATGCTCTGTAACATCATAAATATTCTACATTTTTTTTCATATTAAAATTACAGTTGATTCCGGAATTGTTTCGATATTGAGTGTATCAGACGCAAATTGTCTGTCTATAATACTCTTTAGTCTATACCATTCTTTGCCATTGTTTGTTATATTTTAATTTTAATTAAATTCTATTATGTATTGATTCTTGTAAATGCTTATGTTCTGATGGTAAACTCTTGCACTATATTTTAAACATATTATTATAAAGTTAAATAATCAAAATTTTGACCTTAATATTTCATTTATTTCTAATATTTATTTGTTGAGTATGTTAAACTTGTATTGTATACACAGATCATTATATTTTGCTTCTGAAAGTCAGCAGGCCAAATTAATTTAGAATTATAATTTATTATAGATTTTAGCAGATGAGTGAATCAAATACAATAAAACATTGTTTATCATTTAATCCTTCGGCGAGCGCGTGGCAGCACTGAGTGCTGTTATCTCATTGTTTTCTTATGATAATAAAAAAAGCGCGCCCACCGGAGGGTTAACCCTACAATGTATGAATTTTTTAATTTAAAATACATTTTTTTAGATAGTTACTAACGTAAAGAATAGGTAAAAGTTCTTTTAAGATTTGATCTGATTGTAAAAGTTAACAAGTTCTGAATTTCTACTAAAATCAAAATTTTAGGTACTTAATTTGTTCGTGTTTCCAATTAATATCCATTTATTTTAGTTGAGTTTTAACCATAAAAGGAGGTGTAGTTATTGCCCACTGGTTTTTTTTTTATTAAATTCTTAATTTTGGGATCTGGAGTTCTAAACATTTCATTGTTTGACATACTCATTTTAGAAAACAAGTCAATCCATCTTGTAAAAAAAAAATACTCAAATAACAACTAAAAGTCGTATATTTTTTGTTATGATTTTTGTGCTAAGTTTTCCCTGCATATTTAATTTAACGGTTTAGTTCTTAACCATTTTATTTAGTTGAACAAAATATGTTATTGACTTACAATATTTTATGCAAACATGAATCTTGGTTAATAAGACACTTTCCATTAAATATTCGCAGCATAACACTGATCAGCAAAAAATGATTCACGAACCAGAGTTAATACATATGATAAATTTGATTAAAACAAAGGAATTAAATGAAATACGTTTTTTAAAAGTTGAACAAGAACAACTATTATTAGGTTGCCAGAACGCATCAATAAATAAAAAATTTAACAGAAAAATACAGGCCTTAAAGTGTACGTACGCTTACGTGGTTTACAAAATGTTGTCGTATCTTAAATTGGCAAACTCTGAAAACAATAATGGGACTTTTAATGATGATGAACATTTTTTAGACTATCAACACACTATCAAGCTGTTTGCAAAATCCGCGAGCAGAATGTTGTCTGTACTTTACATTGGAAAGGTGGTCGCTGCTAATTGGTTATGGATAGTGTTTATTAAGTTGACTGCCATCAATCAGAACATTATGAAACTTGATGAATTATGCAATGATCAAAATGTGAATTACATAATCGGATCGTTTGTAAATATTTGTATTGAAAATAAATACATAAACGTTAAAAACGTAGTGACCGCTCCGGTCTCATCAATAAAACATTTACTACTAAATGAGACAACCATATTGCTAATGGAAGCAGAATTAGTGGTAGGCACAGACAACATATTGTTAAGACTTTATAGATACGAAAATCAATTTAATATCTTTGACATCTTTTGGGCTAAAGACTATCTACATGCACGTTTAATACCAAGATTAAGGTATTTCCGTCATATTAACTGGCAGCCTTTAAATTACACACTGGGCAATATATTTAATAACGTTAATCTGATTTGGAAACATGACATTTTTTTGGCATCGCAGTATTTTGAAGGCATCAAAGACACTGTATCTATTACCATAATTTACTGCGTTATGAGACACATTTTAAATTACCAGGAAAACAGGTGGTCGCCAAAATTTATACATTGGTCAAGTGAAAATCCGAATAAAACTAAACAATATATTGATAATTATCTGAAAAATATTGTAAGTTCATTATTAATTACTTTACGTATTATGAATTTGGAAGATGACGAATTTTATCAAAGAATAATTTTTCATCTGACTTTTAGAGAAGATGATATAAACATGGCAAAATTTCATCAATTTTTAACTAGTGTTAAAAATAAGTTTGAAAATATTTTGAAGAAGTACCATATACCTTTTGAACCTTTATATCGTTATATAGAAAGTAATGTGATACAAAATATTTTTATAGTAAATGAACAAACTTTATTATACAATTCCACTGTGCTTAAGCTGTATAATTATTATTTTATGGGTGCAATAACTAATTTTAATTTTAAGATAGTGAACTCATTTAGTTCAAGTGAAAAAGTGGATTGGATTGATAAATTTGTCTTCTAAATAGGTAGGTTGATTATGTGTATCTTAGAATCTAAATAAATCACTTTTTAATTAAATTTAAGAAAATATAAATTTGTAATTTAATTTAATACTATAGATTATTTGCTATGTGTGTAATAATAATATTATAACATGTAAACATATTATAATATGTTGCCAACGTTGTATATGCATCCATTTATAGTTATAAAAATAATTATATTACGAATTATACAATGGAGCTAAGTGTTAGATTTTTATTTTGACAACTAAAAAAAATTAAATTAGGGAAAATACTAGCTCTGATGGTTTACGAGCCTTTGAGATAATGTTAACGAGCCACGTACTGTAGCAGGTAAAATCAGAAAAGAGTATTACTAGTTTAGAACGGGTTAGACATTAACTGTTTTGCGTTAAAAAAGGCTAGTAACATTTTTTTTATCTCAGAAGGCCAATTTTTTGGAACCGGCGTTATGTTTTACAAATTAAAACTATGAATGTGGATGTGGATTTAGTAGCATAAATAGTATTAGGAAATGATGATAAAAAAAATGATCAGGTTAAAATTGAGAAAATGCCTTGAATTGATGAAGAATAGAATAGTAATTTCAGTAAATTTTTTATGTGAAATACATAAAAAGGCACGTGCTGTGCATTTACAAAAAAACTACAATGAGCAATATAGAAAACCATGTGGAACAATTTAGGACGACAGCTAATAACGTAAGAAAATTATTTTATTTTTATTGTCACAGTTGCAAAGTTGCAATAGTATTTCAATAAAAATGTATAATATTAATGGAAAGCCAACAAGCCCCTTCCCACTATTTTCACGTCTGACAAACGAGCAGTCTATGTTCAAAACCAGCTAAAAGCCATTTTTGAAAATATTTTCAAACCATAAAAATGTCTTCAGATGGCCGATTTTAAAACCAACCAAGATTCTCCCAACACAGTTTGAGTTAGTTATAATCTATAGACATTGATATTCAATAGTAGTTTTACACATCATGTAATACACTATACAGTGTGGCCACTTAAGAAAAAACACGTTTCCAAAATGACTTTTAGCCGGTTTCTAAACTAGACGTCTCATTTTTGCGTTTAAAATAAAAATAAAAATCGCAAAGAAATGAGAGAGGTATCAGAGATGAAGTATCTTAAGGACTTACACGTGAAAATAATGAAATTGTTTTACAATACGTTATAAGGAATAGGTATACTGTAATATTACAAAATATGTTGTTCAACAATATTGTTGTCCAATACACTGACGGTAATAGTGATATAGTATAGGACATGTTGTGTATTGTTACTATTATAGGGTAATTAACTTAATAACATTGTTATTATTATTATTATGTACTATAACAACAATATTATGATAGAAGGCGATGCTATACAGATCGGGTTCGTGCACCAGCCTATGCGGCGTTGTTGGCGGTTGCCTGGCCAACATGTATACACTACAGCAACGCCGCAGATGTGTACACGACTTCAGCTTGCTCGTCGCCGCCGCGTGCACCACACGGTTGTTTCCGCCGGTCAGCTGTCGTCGTCTATCGCCGAGTGGATAGTATTGTAATATAATATTTTCTCGTTGGCGTTCGTACTTAAACAAAAATAAAAAAAAACCGCCTATTTTGGGTACCCCCCACCCTGAATCGTTCGGTGTGGTCGTGTTGACTTTACGTCATTAATACTGTAAATTACCGATCTCGTTCGTTTGTCGTGTATTATAAATACTAATGCCGCCTTTGTCGTAATATTATTGTTTTGGCGCGACGGTCTTATGCACCTTTAACCGGAAAGGACTACCCAAGGAATACCGTCTTCGACCGCATCCAGGAAATAGCCGTCCGGCGCTTAACTTACAGGTACGTCCCATTACGATCCTCTATAGTGTATAATGGCACAATACAGTTGGTCAAACACAGCACCGATGACCGGTACCGGTCACCGGTTAGGCGTAGACGGCCTTTGTCGTCGAGCCGTTCGTTTGTTTATTTATTTACTTTTAGAGATTACCGGTAGGATGTTGGGACATTATTATGGTCTTTATAAACTTGGACCACTTCGGGTAAAATTGTGGACATTTTATACATAACTAAAATATAAACGGGCATCATTGCTAGATTACGACATTTTACTATCTTTGCTCCTGTCGTGAGAGATTTTATTTTAACTTGTAATCAAAAATTAATACAGTAAATAACTTAATTTTCCAAGTCTGGGGCAATTTTCATGCGCGTTATTATCTAGCAATCACGCCTGTTTATTTATTTTGTAATTTTAGGTATCATTAACGGCGGTCGGTGCGAAACGTTAGCAAAATCATCATAATTTTAGATTTTTTTAGAAACAATAATTGTGCACTGTACCAACTTATACAGTATTATTTTGATATATACAAACCTTGTGTAGGTACATTTTAGAAATTAGGGTATTAGGGTAACTAAACGGTATAGAATTACACGTTTTCATATACTTATGATTTTAAGTTTTATTGACGTGAACAATTCAACTTTGAAATGTATACAATAACTTGAAAAAATTTATTACACTTGACAGCAAAGTATAAAATTTAAAAATTTAATAATAATATTAAATAATAACTAATTTATATAAAATTGTATTTTTAAAATACAAGTATTTTGTTGTGCTATAAAATATTATAATAAACAATTTTTATTACTTTTATGCTTCTAATTGATGAATTGTAGAGTTTTGACACATTAAAGTATCACCCTGCAAAAATGTCTAATCGATAAAAGAAGATCATATGTCACTCCAATAATATCTACTGTCGTCAAAGTTGAATTTTTCTAACTAATTTATTTAATTTAAATGTATAGTATATAAATACGTTTACAATTATTATTGCTTATTACTATATAACTTATTCTCCAACAGCTTGTCAGTTCATAAATCATACTCGTTGTATTAGTGTGAAAATCATCAAGTAAACTTCAAGATCAGCTGAGGCGTTTAAGTCGCCATGAACGTTATGATAGTTTAATTGCCTCCAGCTGACTCAAATGACGAGCTGAAACAGTTTGAAGTCGGAAAAACTGTTAATTAACACTCTCTGAAAATAAGTTTCCTTTTCGACGTTGGTTTGTCAATGTTTTCCCCATGATGGATAGCTTAAACCACTATCGAGTAACAACTCTAAAGTTTAAGTATATATTTTTACGCTTCAAAACGTTTTTACTTTCATTTAAAAGTAAACATTCAAACGTTATCTTTTATTCTTATTCTGGTGTACTAAATGATAATAAATAATACTTTAGTGTAGTAATAATAATATTTCTTTACATTGTTTTACACAATGAAACAATACATTTTTATACCAATCAAGTTGTAAAGTTACTTTCCGCAGGATGTATACTTCACTTTATTTTGTTTTTTTAGAGATGCTAAAAGGCCGATTATCAATTTTTGAATTACATTTGAGATATTTTTATATTTTAAAGTTTTTATATAAATATAGTTTGGTACTTCAATAGTTTTATAACAGTTCAATCATTTATTTTTTAGTCTCCATAATTAATACTTAGAGCTTTCTTACCAAAAAAAGTTTGTTTTCCAGAAGAATTTTTTTATTAAATATTAAAATAAAAAAATATTGTATCACGCATAAAAAATTATTCTTCATTAGTCCTTAACTTAGTTGGTATACTTAAAATATCTCGTAGATCAGCTTACGTCAAATATCATCTAACTTCTATACCTTAAAATAAAATACATTTATTTTGAATGTATTTATTATTTAATATTGTAAAGTTCACTACAAATGTAACAATAAAAATGAGCATACTTATGTAGTCTATTTACCATTTAAAACTGTACAATGCATTTAAGCTTCACATTAATAATAATGTGATAAGCTAACTGAGCTTATAACCGTTGGTGAGGTTCAAATCGTTTGTTTTTCGAATAAGAGGAATCCACTACTAAGTTCAAACTAAGAATCGTTCTACATCTGCGGTTTCAATAAATTTGCTTCTTATCATAAGTTAGTGTTTATATTTATACATAAATGGTGTTTATTTAACATATAAACACCATTGTTAACACCTTTTTAATTTTGGTTCATTAGTAGCTTAGGCAAGATAATATCACAGTTATAAAAAAATATTATTATTATGATTATTATAAGTTATAAACATTTTGATAGGTAATCAATTTTTATAATTGTAGTTATAAGAAATTAAAAAGTTAATAATTAGAAACGCCATAGGTAATGGGAGAGTTTTGGTGGATTTAAGTATACAAAATATAAAACAAATTTCCGCATTTCTTGGCTAATTATATCGTACACATTATGTGTCAACTTTCAGGTTTATGATCGCCTAAGTACTTAGTAAAATGTAATATAAGAGTAATGGCAAGTGAGTAGATACCGGCTATCTTTGTTTACACTGTATGTCACCTCTTTTGATTTAATCATTTATGTAAATGGACTACCCTCTGTTATTGTTATATTCTTGAATAATTATGCCTTAACTGTACTGTTAGGCTAAATGTACAAACTTCAATTGTTACAAACTAGCGTTAATAAGTTTTAAACAAAATTAAACAATACAGAATTTTACAATAACATTAGTAATAATAATAATAATAATAATAAAGAGCGCGTTAGAAAATTATGCTGAACGTTATAATTCGACGCCTCAATTCAAAACAGTGACAATTCCAATAATAAATAAGAAAAAATATGTTTTTTTATAAGTGCTGTAGGTTTTTGAGATAGAAAAACCAAATTTGAAGCGCAGTTTGAACTGTATTGTCGAAATTTAACAATACATTTTTCAAAATGAATAAAAGCTCATATTTTTATGAGTTGTTGCGGTTTTAAACTAAGGCGTCTACGTATCTATAACGTCTGTTTAATCTAAAACAAATGCCGTAGCCGTTATCCGACGAGTACATTTTCGACCAAGTCGTCTGACAAATAAAAATAAGAATAGCTGTCGGAAATACATGTATACAAGCGTAGAAAAAAACACAAAGAGCGCCGGCATGGTCATGTTATGGTGTGCGTCATCGTCGGTGGAACGAGCTGATGAAGACATCAATGTTAACTCATAGGTGCTGTTCACACAAATACCGCCGGTGTTCGGCTTGTGTGTAATAATAATAATAATAATTTACCGGTCGCACACAATAATGGGAGCTCCGTCTCTAATTGGATTTTTCCGTCAGCACTATAAGACGTGCGGCTGTGGAGGACCTTGGCTTGGAAATAGGTAGGTACGATTGCACCATTGAACGGGCGGCAACAACGGTGGCAACGACCACCACTCCGGCGGGAGAAGAGGAAACCAGTTTGTCGACATTCTTGTACGGCCCTCCCCGCCCTCCCACCTACCGGGAATCAAACCGTTTTACGTTGTCCCACCTTTTTCTTCGATATCGTCTTACATTATGTCTCAATTAAGTTTGTTCAGCGTTTTGAATCGCCACCGCCGATTGTCCTTCGATCGGCTTACTCCTTGCATTTCGCCGAGCAATTTTTTTTGTACCCTTTCGTCTGAATGGTTTTTTTAAGTCCTAAAACCGAGCGTGCGATTATAACAATTGTAGCGTGAAATATAATGTTAATCTGGTGTCCAGACGATATCGAAATAAAATACATAACGTCCTAGGACTTGGATCACCAATCATGATAATTATTATTATAAATAATATACACATCTCATTTACATGTCCAATGATAATAGTATACTTACGGCGAATTCGTATTTTATTAAAATATTTCTCATAAATTCTGGTAATTTAAAATTTATCGTTAATTTATATAGCTTTTTTTATTGGCAAAATTAGTGCGTGTTATATACAAAGATGGACAAAATTTAAATAAGATATTAAAATTTAATAAATAACGTAAACTTTTTTTATTCGTGAATAATATTATTTTTTAACTCGATTAATAAAAGATAATTAGTTTTTTTTATTATTTATACCTAACTCACCCGCTCTCCGCCTCACGCCCTTAATTTTTAAACTTTAAAAGTAGTTATTCAAAATTGGTTACAGCCCAGTCGAGACGTTCAGAGAAATTATTCTTATTTTAAAAAGTTACAATTTCAACGCCTGATAAAATTCTAGAGTTTACCATAAAATATGAACATTTCAATATTGTTTAGTACTGTAAATTAACATTAATTAAAATTTCTCAAAAAATAAAAACTACAAAACAGTAATTATTTTCAGAGAAATTAATGTTTTACACGTTAAACATTGTAGGCCAACTATGAATAGCCACTTATTTTCTGAAAATAACATAATTTAAATCTTTTTCGCATCAATATTAAAATGTCTAAACGTCAACGCAAAATTGCTTATTTCTCGAGAAATACAAATACGCTTTAATAAGCTACGTGCGTCGACTGTCCGATCCGTAAAAAGTGATTAAGATGTAAAAAATGTCAAACTCGGCTTTCAATTTCTATCGTTTTAAACGGATTTTTTCGATCGTATCAAATCTAAAGGCACGTTCACTATTCGCGTATCTAATCGAACCAAAAAAAAAAAATCAAACTATTGCTTTATAAAAAATTATATAATACTTGCAGAAATTTCAGCTGAGTCATAGTGAATTTATTGCAACATAAAATTGTATTTTTTATTTTATTAAAGCTGGGTTTCCCCTCCGCACGCGTTAGTATCTTTCTCATCTTACTCTCGTTCAAAGATATATTTTTTGTACTGCTCAACTATCCTTTATGTATGTTGCGTTATGGTCAGGTACAGGTAGTTAATTCTTGTAGTCATCTTGATTTATCTCTTTCTGGCAGCGCAAAATTTAAAATATTTATTTACATAATAATATGTCATGGGTCTTGTTTACAAAGCGCAATATATAAAACAT